AACACCTTATTCCTAGATCTATTACCATTCATCTTTTTTTTATCCTGGCTTAAAAGACTCCTGCTTCAATGGTACTAGCGGGAATGAAAGAAGACTCGGACAATGCAAAGGAATAGATAAAGGGACGGGAAAGCAAGAATAGGCTGACATCATCATTTTTTGGATTCGCTACATGAATTAGTTCAGTGAGGGGGGATCCGACTCAGATAGAAGGGGGAATAGACTGGAATCCTTTGCTATTACCATTTCTCGGCCTAAGGACTGCCAGACAAAACTGCCTCGCCATGTAAAAAGGTAAAAAGATCTCTGAGAGCCGTTTCCTGGATCCGAAAGAGAGTACTTGGGTTCTCCCAATAACTAAAAAGTGTATCATGTCTGAATCTAACTGGGGTTCGCGGTGGTGGAGGAACTGGATCGGAAAAAAGAGGGATTCTAGTTGTAAGATATCTAATGAAACCGTCGCTGGAATTGAGATCTCATTCAAAGAGAAAGATATCAAATATCTGGAGTTTCTTTTTGTATATTATATGGATGATCCGATCCGCAAGGACCATGATTGGGAATTGTTTGATCGTCTTTCTCCGAGGAAGGGGCGAAACATAATCAACTTGAATTCGGGACAGCTATTCGAAATCTTAGTGAAAGACTGGATTTGTTATCTCATGTTTGCTTTTCGTGAAAAAATACCATGGAGGGTTTCTTCAAACAACAAGGAGCTGGGTCAACTATTCAATCAAATGTCCTAATAGCTACTTCCTTGCCTTAAGAAGCTCCCAGGAAAGCCTGCTTTATATAGAATAGAAGACTTTTTTCTTTCTGCCACTCAATCAGAAGTGTTATACTAATAGGTTGATGCTTTCGCTTAAGCAAATGGTGCCTTTTGGTCCCGTCTCCTTTTGGGCCCATTGGTAGCATAGGAGAACCCGACGTAACTAGAGAGTAGTTGTCGGCAAATCAAGTCAAGATCTTTCCTTTTCCCGGAGCGCCTTCCTTAAGCGTCTGCGTCTGGTGCCTCGGAGCCTGCGGTATAGAGAACGGATCTGAATCAATATCGAATGCAACCTCTCCCGCCGTGGAACTGTTTCCGTTTTTCAATCGAGGTATATTGTAGTTTCCTCGGGTCTTGCCGCCCCACCCCTTTTTTACCCATAATCAGGTTTTTCCCATCCCAAGATAATAGAAGAGGCAAAAGAAGACCCATACCATAGCCATAGATAGGTAGGAAGGGACAAGATTGGAATAGAATCAAGTTGGCAAAGCAAAACCACTGCTGAATCTGGACTAAGCCCTCACCCTCACTCTGAGGCTCCTCAGGGAAAGAGAATAGGAACAGATAGGAGCACTTAGACTTGGTTGGAGGCCTGACCTATCTATAAAGAGGCTTGTAGCTTCACCAGAATCAGATGCATATGCCGTGGATCATCGGCTTTCAATTCCGGCGTTCCAGAGCAGAGTAGTAGTGATTGGCAAAATCAGCCTCTAATCCCAATGACTTTAGGTCTCCCTAAAGCTTAGGTCAGGGTGGGCACCGGGCAGTAAGAATATTCACCGACCAGTGTTCATATTGGAATGGGCTCCGCCGGAGCTAGGAGAACAGCAGCTCTTCCGAAAAAGAATCTAACAGTTTTTAGTCCGTGGGAATCCTCCTCCTGGGATGAATTGCCTTCAATCATCTATCGAATTGGAATTCCCTGTCGAAAAAGGGGAAGGAGGAAGAATTGCGTTCTAGTGTCCTATTTGTCTAATAATTATTAGAAAATTCCCCCATTCAATAATTCGTATTCGTAGCGTCCGATTCCATTCCTGACTAGCGGACAGAAAGAAAGCAAGAATTCTTCCTGCTCTACGATTAACTCTTCCGTTTAAGGTCTTAAGGTACGAAGTGACTTTCCTCGTTAGGACAGCCAGAAGGGCAGAGCTCTATGTTCTATTGAAAGCTGTCTCAAAAGAGCGCATTCGATTCCTCCTCGTACATTTCTATTAGATGCTTTAATGTCGGAAATCAGATATGGCAGCATTTATTTGGGCCTTAACTTAATAAAGAAGGATGGCTAGTTACTTATATTTATTCATACCGGGAATTTTGTCCCACTTTTCTTTTTCCTTCTATTCGGATCTTTCCGGCGAATGTTGAGAATGGTCTGTTCATGAAACTTCGGGTACCTTTACTATCGAAAAATGATGTTCCCAGGAGCAAAACCATCTAAGCCAAGATCGTGAGTTCCTTTCACTAGCAGCCTTAATGCCGACAAAACATCAACAGGATCGGAATCAGGGAAGGCGGATTCCATAGTTGCCTCACAGCCTGCCTATTCGAGAACATCTGCTCGTGGGATCTGACTAAGATGACATTTGATCTCGGCCTGGCCTAGCGCTTGAAAGCATTAATTTCCATAAGCCTTAGGGCAAGAAGGTCCTTAACAACCGATTCCTATTCTTTATATGTCATGTCACTTCCTCGTCCATTAACAAGGCAAGAGCAAATGAAGTTGACGTCTAAAAGACAAATTGAAAGCATTTTCAGGCAGGCAAGTAGACCCACGATGTATGACAGCATCGAAGTCACAAATAGAGGATAAGCTACGGGTACTACGCAGGACCATCAAGTTCCCTGTCGAAAAACCAACCCTACTTTTTAGAGAAAATCTCTCTTCCCGCCTTTCCTGCCTTTGTTGAGTTGAGCGATTTCAACACACACGGGAATCTTCCAGGCTCGATCCTGCACCGATAGCGGCTTAGTAAGGTGGGAGCGAGTGAAGCATATTCCATTGCTAGTAGGTGACACACTCAATCCGTTAAGAAAGACAACCCGGGTTCAGCCATCAAGGTAGGACTATCGCCTTGCATTGAAGAGAGTTCTAAGTTTAACCGTCGTTCCTTTGTAGCACTAGTTTTTCTCCATAGCCTAGACTCGAACGGGTCTGGTTATAGGTACCATCCATTCTTCCTTCCACGAAGAGACCTTACTTGACTGCGTCCGCCAGGTTTTCCACTTCCTTATAGGCACCTCTAGAATCTGTCATCGAATGTACCTGCCTCCTTATTACTCTAACCACTGAGATGTACTGATTCTGATCTGCCCGATCTTTGACCTTTCCTATTAGTGGTGAGGGCTGTCAACCACATAAACTATAAAGGACTAATGCCCGAGATTAATAATACGAATTTAATAAAATTAACTAAAAATCCGACCGGAGAATAGGTTATTAGGTAACTAGGTCGTCAAAAGAGACGAAGGCCAAGGCAATAACGACCAGGCGCAAGGGGAAAGTCCGATCTTTACGGAACTGATGGAACTGCATCTCTAACTGCTTGTGCTGCTTCAATAGATACATCTGAGAGCTGGGTCTGCTGCCGGGGGAAAGATCAACCTCGAATCCTGCCTTTGAACGCTATTTGTTCTCGAATCGGAAGGGGTGTTACGGGGCGACCATGCACTGGAGGTCAGAATCACGCTTACGAACGTCGAGATTTCGCTCCTTATGGCTACTGCTACTGATGCTTCTGCCAGATCGATACTCCCCACGCCTCCCCCTTTCATTCAATTCCTTTGATCGAAGGTATAAGTGATTGGGTCATCTTGCTCGCCCACGAAGATAGGCATAGGAGAAAGAGATATGAAGTGCAATAGGGGAAGAGCGGAGCTCCATTCATCGACAGGCTATGGGAATAATAAAAACCTAGCCCAAGGGCTGCCTTCGAATCGAGGGATCCAATGGAGGATTTATTCGCCGTCAGGAGGGAATTGATGCCTTGAGTAGAAAGGTAAGAGAGGAATTTGAGTTTCTTCCTTGTTGCAGAGATGAAGTCGCCGGTGATAGCTCTGGAATAGAACAGGCTGAATGCTGGAACTCTCAGAGGGGAGTAGCGCTGAACTGAATGCCCTGCTTGAGGAAGAGAAGGGATTGACCTAAGGAAAGGCTGGGAACTTTTCTTCGACGCTGGGTAAGGTAACACTTCCTACATCTTTGGAATTGAATCAATAGTAGCGGGACAAGTAACTGATTAAGGAAAGGCATGAGTCAATAGCTCAACGAAAAGGAAGTAGAGTAGAACGAATTAGTCTTCTGGGCGGCACTCGTCTTCTGCAAAGGAGGTTTCGGATGGGATGGCACTCTTGTCAACGTCAATTGATGATTCTCGAAAGCAAGCCAAAGAGTCGACTAAGCACCCGAGTAAGTTAACTGGCGAGACCTTACCTTAGCTTGGAGAGAGGGAAGAAGAGACCTCCTTCCATTACCGTATGTTAGCTTCCTACTCGATCAGAACCGGGTGGAACTACTGATGCTATTTCCCAGCAACCGCCCCAGCCTTGTGATTCCGAACCAGGACGAAACTCTTTACTTAGTCGTTATATTCTATTTTTCACCGAGATTCTGTCAATGGCAACCGTATTCACCGACGCCTCCTCGGACGTAGTCCGACAAGCCGCTCCATATCCAAAAAGTCTTCGATCCTTAGCATCTCGGGTGCCAACGAATGCCTTTGCTTTCGCTTGATTCGAACCATCTCCGTCGAGCCTCTTCGACGGCACTAGCCTACGGGTTCTTCCCACTAGCCATGGTTTGGCCTAACCCTTGGCTCTGATACCACTTGTCACGGCGCTAAGTCCTTCAAGCCCACAAACCGCGGCACCCACCCTGTTAACGGTCCGCTGTAGCAGAGTAAGCTGAAAAAGCCCTTTCTATGTTATTAGTCAAGCCGTCCTTATTGAAAACTAAAGCACTAACGCCCTATACTATAGTAAGGGGCCTTTTTTTTATTGCAGGATGCCGGGTGCGCAGGAACGTCCAACCTATACAAGGGGTTTCCGCCTTCATTTGGTCGTTCTGCTATGATGTAACGTGCAGTCGTCCCAAGGCAGCAGGATGTATGGTGTAGGGCCCCCTCTTTTCTCTCCCTTAAAGTCCTTTATAGATTTCGAGTCGGGAATAGAGCAGTGGCTTATTCGGCGCTATATCACAATTTTTTCTCGGGCATAGCTGTTCACGAAACGTGGCATGGGACATCTGTCGACGGCGGGAGTCTTACATCCGAGCGAGAGGTCAGACCCATCCCATTCATCCTGGTCCGATCCGAACGGATCTTGTTGAATGAATTGATCCATTGTTGTATGCCCTAGTTCTTAGTTCATTTTTTCTTACTCGGACCCGCTTCCTTTGACTACTCCTGAGATATATAGTGGAAACATTTTTTTATGGTGGGGAGTGAAAACACCAATGCAGTAGAGAACGACCGCGTGAATCGGAATCCACTTAGATTAAGATTAAGCTAGACGACCGAGAAAGAAAGGCTCCACGTTCGAACATTGGTTGATCTTAGCGTACTAGCCGCTGCTTCATTTCGTATAGTGATAACGCTTTCTCTTTCTTAGCGCTCCGCCCCCCTCGTATAGGTTGGGGAACTCGGGTTGCGCGGCTTTCTCTTATAGGGGTCTATTTTCTTTTTCTGACTTGACTCAGCTTGACCTACTTGACTCAGCGGTTAGAGTATCGCTTTCATACGGCGAGAGTCATTGGTTCAAATCCAATAGTAGGTAAAACCGGCCGAAACCCCTGCTTTTGCCAGCATGACAGCAAGCACGGACTGGCAGCAAGGAGTCAACTGAATGACCAAAGCATCGGTTGCTTCCATTTGTGGCCTTCTTCGACCGCCTTGAGACCTTAATATCAAAGAACCCCCCCCTCTCTTCATGTATGTGGGCTGCCTGCCCCGTCCCGAATAGACGAACAGGAACAAGCTGAAGAAAGGCGCGAGAGAGAGAGTTGAGTTGATACTCACCTCCCCTCTTCCACAATTAGGTGAAGACCAAGGGGGCCGGAAACCCCAACTGGAACCCTAAAACCGCGCCACACGATTCTTTCGCGAAGCGCTCTCTCAGACGTTTCCACTCCTGCCCCCGCAAGCAAAGAGAAGCGACTGGCCAGACAAATAGCTTAGTCGCAGGAAGATTCCCCAACTGAGGTACAATAGGTCTCAGGATCATCCGATCTATGAGAATCTCTCGGAAAGCTCTCGTCGACTCAACCGATCAATAGAAGGAAGGACCACCTCTTAGAGGAGCCTCTTCTAGTTCTTGCATGACGATCCCTTCCCCTTTCTTCACATCAAGGGATAGAAAGGAATAAGATTCTAGCCAAATAGCCTGATTAGATTATTATATCGAAAGACTTATATTCTAGGAAGGTTAGCACTATCCCGAAAACAGCCTACTTGAATTGAATAAGGTAGAGTCAGATTCATATGTAAAGGCTAGGCACCTTCCCGCATTCGCACCTTAAATAAAGTATTAAAGAACTAATGCTACATCTGATCTGCTAATTGAATTAGATATTCTATCTCTTCCTTGGAACAGGTGAATCAGAAATTGGATCTCCATGCCCAGAATCTGCTGCTTGAGAATCAGCTGTGGGACGTCGAGGTAGTGCTAATGCTAGCAATAGCAATAGGGTAAGGGAAAGCAAGCAAGCCAATCAGTGAGTCATTCCAATCAGTCCTTGCATTCCGGGCAAGCCAGTACGGTACCAATGCTTTCTCTTTATGGTTTATAGATAGTAAGTAGTGAGCCAGTCAAGTGAGAAGAAAGGGGAGGAGGTAAGGAAGTGAAGTAGGTAAGCTCAGTCTCAGTCAAGTAGTTAGCAGGTTCAGGATAAACTTCAACGATAGGCGGGGAAAGAGAACTACAATCAGTCTACGAAAGTAAGGTTGTTAGCAGGTGAAGTAGTGGAAAGATGAAGTAGTGAGCCACTCACGTAACGGTGTTAGCTGTCCTAAGTTCATACTTAGTAGCTCATCAGATAGTCCGTAGCGAACTCTTTTTTGAAGTTGAATAAGCAAATGTGGCAACAGGTGGTATATCCTTTTATAAGTAGTTTTGATCCCCACTCAATGGAAATTTCGTTTTGATTGAACGAACCCAAGGGGAAAGACAGACTGACGAGCAAGGGACCTAAGCGCTAGGCCTTTTTCTTGCTACGCTGCTCCTTCCTCTGTTCGTTCTTGTCTTTCCTCGCCCCTTGGGGGCTGGGGCCCTTTCGTTAGCAGGGTCAAGCATAGGTTCTCCTATGGGGAACCGAAGCGCTCACTTCTTCTATGAGTGAAAGGTGTTGTACGGCTTCTTTTCGCTCTAGAGATCTTGAGCTCAATGGGCCTAACTTTTACCGACCTCCTTTCTTTCGTTCTGTCTATATGAAGTAGGGTCTTAGAGAAGGTTTTCAGCTCTAAGCAAGAAGAAGCAAACGTAGGGTGGTCGGAGATCAGTGACTGCAAGGGATGTGAGTGCGCTCTGATCGTAGACCTCCTAGGCACCAAGCCCAGGATTGCACTTCGCTAACCCGCCCTTATCAGCTCAACCGAAGTCTCTATTATAACAGAAGTGGAAAGGACATACCTTGAATACAGATCGAGATTCACTCTGGCACTGATTTATAAAAATTTAAGAAGAAACCGATTCCTCAACAGAGGAGTAGAAGAAGGTAGAGGTACAGCGGGCAGGCTTTCCGACTAATGATAAGAACGGATCAGAGACCAGTTTCAAGATACGAGGCTCTGGAAGAGGGAAGAGAACAACCAACCACCTTCCTCCGTAATTGTTGCAGGCACTGGGCTCCAATCTGAGCCCTTTGGAAGATTGGATGTGTTTGGAGTGCCCTTCGCCACCAGATGAATAATTAGCAGGAGATGGGGTCTCGATAAGAGGTTTCGAAAGGGATTAGTTCATTCGCAGGAATGGTCTCGTAGATGGCTTATCTTCCCTCGGATGGAGCTTCTTACCTGTAGTTGGAGATGCAATATATGGGGTTCCGAGCTAGGGGAGAGATCAGCATCGATAGGACATGGAGATGTGGGCTCAGAAGGGAGTGGAATAGAGGGTCCGAAGGAGATAGCTTAGATGCCGCCACTGGGGGTTCACTTGCTTACCTTGTCGGGTCACCTGGAGAGGTCGGTCGAAGGTTGCATTGGATTCCAGGACGGAGAAGCAGAGTTTGCTAGTTAGCTTTCCTTCATCACAGGGGTTTCGTAACCAGATTCTTATCTATCACTTATCGAGGGATCAGTTCCCAATTAGACTAAAACAGGGGAGCAAGCAAAGCTAGTCAAAGAAGAAGGGCCGGCTTCCCTGCGGAGCCAGTTAGACCACCATGACCATCACCTGTGAAGAGAGTTTCCACAGTCTCATCTCAAAGAGGAGGCCCTCGCCCGACAGAAAGAAATGAACGAATGCACCGCTAGAGGACTATGGGATAGACGGCGTACGTGTACCATATTGAATTTCCTACGAGACGGACTAAGGGACTATGGGGAAGAATCGGAATGAGGGATGGGTAATCAGTCTCGATAAGTCAGTTTGGATAATCGGCTGTCATAGGATGGTCTACAATCAGGGCCGGATCGGGGCCTTAGATCCTATTTCCTGGTTAACCAAGCAAGGGAAGCTCATCTCGAACACAAGGAAGATGAAAACTTAGATATATATCGTATTAATATGATTAATCATGCCCAGCTAAAGAACAAGGAAGCGCTTAGCTTACTTTTGTGGTAAGTCAGATCAGACCCGCCCTATTGATAGACTGCCGATACAGGACGAGAGCCCGACCGATTGAGACAGGGCAGATGCAACCTAATTCTTTGAGTTAGGGTTGAATGTCTACTTCCAGGTCTTCTCACAGAGATGCACAGAGGAAGAGAACGAACTGAATATATAACTCAGTGAGTGCTTTCGAAGAAAGGGGAAAATGAAATAGGAACAACCGCGCTGGTCGTAATAGATCGACTTTCATGCTCCAGTATGAAAGTTCCATTTCAGGGAAGGACGACGTACCATGATACTTTCTGTTTTGTCGAGCCCTGCTTTGGTCTCTGGTTTGATGGTTGCACGTGCTAAGAATCCGGTACATTCCGTTTTGTTTTCCATCCTAGTCTTTCGCAATACTTCAGGGTTACTTATTTTGTTAGGTCTCGACTTCTCCGCTATGATCTTCCCAGTAGTTCATATAGGAGCTATAGCCGTTTCATTCCTATTCGTTGTTATGATGTTCCATATTCAAATAGCGGAGATTCACGAAGAAGTCTTGCGCTATTTACCAGTGAGTGCTATTATTGGACTGATCTTTTGGTGGGAAATGTTCTTCATTTTAGATAATGAAAGCATTCCATTACTACCAACCCAAAGAAAGACGACCTCTCTGAGATATACGGTTTATGCCGGAAAAGTACAAAGTTGGACTAATTTGGAAACATTGGGAAATTTACTTTATACCTACTATTTCGTCTGGTTTTTGGTTCCTAGTCTTATTTTATTAGTAGCCATGATTGGGGCTATAGTACTGACTATGCATAGGACTACTAAGGTGAAAAGACAGGATATATTTCGACGAAATGCTATTTCTTTTAGGAGGACTATAATGAGGAGGACGACAGACCCACTCACGATCTACTAAAAGGAGAGTCGCCCCGGGTAGGGCACTAGAGATCTCTTAGAGGGCCGAGCGGCTTCTAGCTTGTGTCATTTCCAGTAAGGGAGTAAATGGTATCATCCTTTCCTGTCATCGAGTAAATGAAATGGTATTATTGCTTGTCGCAATTCCTTTCTGACGACTATGTTAGTTGATCTCTCTTAAGTCCTTATTTATCTTTTATTTATGTATGGCCGAGTGAAGTGCCTCAAACGTTATGTGGCACGAACGATCTTAAAGTTCCTCTTCTTGTCTTAGAGTTCTTTCCTTCTGTGTCTTTGATTAAGTCTCCTATTCTTTTCCTAATTCTGCTGGTCGTCTCTCAGGGCATCAATCCTGGTCTTAATATCCCCGCATGTGAATCCCATGAGTTGGTAATTCCTCTGTCTGTGGTCCATTCGTCAATGACCCATGGCTTTGAGGAACTACTCGACTTCTTCCATCCCTTATTAATAATAAGCTTCTTATCTTAAATTAAAAGAGAATCCCATCGTGAGAGGCAAAGTACTTAAGGCAGAAAAAGCTTAAGGGAAGCCCTCTCTTGAGAGAGAATTCTAAAGCCCTTCCTCCTTCACTAGTCACTATATTTTAGTCGAGTAGCATTCGAATCCATATATGAATGGCTTTGGCTTGAAGGTCTACTCTAAATTCAATAGTCTAATGACATCCAGAAGGTACGAAAGCACTTCTCTGAGATTGAGACTGATGAAGGCAAAGAAAAAGAAGATAAAGACTTTTTAGGCCCGGCCCTAGAGCTAGATCATAGAGGGCAAGTCCTCTTATAGTAGTAGTAAAAAAGGCAAAGAACCCCAGCAGGCTTGAAAGCCTAGGTGTAAAAGAGGCTAAGGTGTAAGGGCGGATTGAAAAGAACAAATTGCTCACCTTTTTCTCCCTTCCTTTCTTTGAGATAGTGGGTCGGAATGCTTTTGATCAATATCAATTGAGAATGCAATCGAGGAGCCTAACTCTAAGATGAACTTCTTAATCTCCTGTCTTGCCTCTGACTATGAGTTGTCTTTCTACGAAAGATTTCCCCCCCTCTCTCGAAGGAAGCCTGCCCGCAAGAACTCTGGTTTTAAGTGCCCTCCACCGCAACCGACATAAAGAAGGAACCGGTCCCCATGTCCCGGATATGATTTGGATTGATTCGACGGACTATTTCTATTTAAGAGCCTTGTGAGCTCTTCTCTTACCAAGCCAGTTGCATTACCTTCGTCCTTACGGTAAGGCTGTTCAAGGCAATGAGAATTGGGGAAGGCCGGGCAGTCAAGCTTTCGTGGAAGTAATGGCATTCCCATTAGCTCTATCCATAGGAGCAAAAAGGGTCTAACGTGCGAAAGAAGGATTAGGAAGATAATAGTAATCCCCGGCTCACCCTTTGAACATTCTAAGTTAAGTTCCGGGCCCTCTCCCGCCTGCTACAGCTACAGTTGCTGTCCTAAGGTAAGGGCAGTTCCTGTTGGAATACCGGTTGTTGCAGGCCCAGGGTAAGCCTTACAGTCATTTGAGTTGCAGTGCCTACTTCTAGGAATACAGTGACAGTCTTTTAACCTTCGCCTTCCATTTCTAATGCTTTCGAGCGAGTGGAAGTTACTGCATTCCTAAGGGTTTCAATGATTGGAGAAAAAGGTAAGACTCCCCAGGAGAAATGGGAGTTTGCTGGGGTTTCACTTGTACTTACATCCAGTCTATCTAGCTCTATTCTTTCTTTTCCAGTGCAAGTTCCTTCTCCCTTTGGTTTTTGGTGGGTCCTTGTAGAAGATTGAAAGGCTCGATAAGAAGTTAATTCACTCCACTATTGGTCAGTACTCTGCCTCACTAATTACGCTCAATCTCTTTCTTCTTTCAATGATCTATGGATTTCTTTTTCCCGAAAGTCGCTTGCCAAAATAGAGCATCTAACCGGGCATCTAAACACCGATTCACAAGATCCCATGTTCTAAGGAACTTCCCACCGGATTCTTGCCTTGATCGGGAAAGTATGAAACTCCTATGAAATAGCTCGCTATCAAGGAGCATGGAACACAGGATAAAGAAGGGTCAGAACCTGGATCGGACTTGGAGCATCTGCTCGGTCTCTTGCTCTAACAAAGGCAAAATAACGCACTTCGGAATAAGACGCTAGCTTAGAACATGACCTAGAACAAGGATTCCCACTGTTTGCTAATCCGATTGCATTGGTCCAACCACCAAGGGCTGACTGGCTTTACCTCACGGGTCATCCCTCAATTCTCTATCTCTAGCAGCTTGCATTCGATGCATAAACCGTATAAGAGCTCCTTCTTGAACAATCGATTCTGTAACAAAGGCGAATCTATATAAAGAAACCTCAAACTCCCTTTCTGATCTGATCCTGGAACGTGCCACTGACTTTTAGGAGAGTCGGTCTTTTTTGCTTCAACTTTCCGGCAGCGAACGGAACTAAGTTTGTAAGAATCAGTAGTAGCTAATTCGTCTATCGTGCTTGTTCGCGAGCTAAGAAAGTATCCATTTCACTATTTGCGAGGCTGTCTGGGCCGGGTTTTCTTCTCTTCGTTTATCCCACGCGGGAAATAAGGTACCGTCCTCATTTCCAGTAAAGGTGGGTCTTACCTTGAAAGAACTGAATATGGTCGACGCGGATGAAGGCATATTACCGCAGGGGGAAAGTTCTCCTAATCCCTCTATCACCTGGATCGTGTGTGAGATGCAAGAGCTTACTTTGATAAAAAGAGAATCCCGCCGAATGGCTTCAACTCGCCTAGGATCCCGCCATTCCTACCTATCTATCATTAGTCAACTCGGAATCCGCTAGACCCTACTTTCTCTCTTCAAATGAATTGATTCGCTGCTTATGAGCTCACTCAACCGTACGCCAACGCTATCTATCTTCGCTGCGGCATCTTAGCTCATTCTTTTGATATCTCGGTTAAGCACACTAAGAACGTAGTAGTAACGACTCCGCGGGCGTCGAAAGAGCAGCTGCCCCCGCACAATTATTCATCGGCCAGTGGAGCGAGGTGAGCTACAAAGCACCTTTCCAATCTTCGCTTTACAGATACGCCAGCGAAATCCATTTTCTCACTTGCCTTCTTGTATTTTTTACTTATTTAGAATCTTTCTCTTAGTATGAGGTTTGAATGACTTAATTGCAATTGGTTTGGTAAATGCCGTAATAGATGTCGTGAGATCCTCTCCTTCCTTCGCTTTCTAGCAAAGCAGGGAGGCGGAGGGGCTGGTCTCATTCCTCGCTATTCGGGCGAGAACCCGATTCCCCATGGAGACTCGGGTTCTCCCGAGGTAATCGCTCATCGCTCGTAGCTCCCAACTACGGCTCGGCTCACTGGGAGCCCCGTTCGCCTTTTGATACTCGAATAGATCTTCAAAAAGAAAAGAAAGACTTCAATGCAACTTTAACTACAACTACATTACGCAAGCTCCACCAATACCTACCTATAGAGTCAAAAAAGTACCCGTGACGGTGACTTTCTAGGTTTATGGATTCAGTCAGCTAAACTCCTCAATAAAATAAGGACAAGACTTCCAAAGCACAAGCCGAAGGCATCTTTTCTATGGAAAGCAAACACAGGCATCTCAGGCTTGCCCATGCTTACCAGACCTTACTTACTAAGGCAAGACTTCTTACTCAGCCTAAGGGTAAGGGTTCTCCTAAGACAGAATGCTTTGCTTACTACTAAACCAAAGGAGAAGAAAGAAAGAGATATTCATTAAACAGATCAGATGAAGTCGAGGCGACCAAAGTACGATCGACTGAAAGGAGAGGAACGTAGTACCTTTCGCTTTGTAGACTACGCTCTTACCCATAGGTCGAGCCTGGAAAACTGAAACCGGTTTTAAATCCCGCTCTGGTTCTTGCACTTGACTTTTTGTTGGGTTCGTAGTCAAAGGCAGGAAGAATAGACAGTAAGAGAAGAAGCTAATGGTACACTTTTCATTTTCGTTGGTCGCCTCTTTCAGAGCCTTCAGCTTTCGGCAACTAATAACCATAGTTAGTGGCTTCTGGTCTATAGTCACCGATCTCGAGTATGCCCTCCGCCTCTCCTCTTTTTCTTGGGTCTATCACCTCCGCTCACTAATCTCTCGTCTCTTTCGTGTCTGTCTTCCGGTTGATGATGAACTTGTTGTCTTCTTAGTCGTAGGTGTAGGTGCTCTTCTCTTATTCGTATGATAAGTATATGTAAGAGTGAAACCCCTCGAAGACATTACGCAGGCTTTTCTTTAGGTCTTAAATTCTTTCAAATCCTGCCCGGCTTATTTTCGCTAGGCATAATAAGTAACCACCTCCCTCCTCACCGAAACTCGAAGGGACGGTACATACATATGGCGGCTTACCGCAAGTCCCTTCGGTCTATCTTTCTTTAGCTCTAGCGGGCGTGGTTCCGTAGTTCTTCCGGCCTTTCTTCATGTCGTAGCCTTAGCTTATCGATGGGTCTTGCATTAGATACATATAGCATTTTCTTTGACTCATGCCTTGGGTCGCCTTCTAAGATCAAAAGCTTAATAATCCTATGTAGTTCGTTCCCTACGGCCGATCCTCCGGAATTCAAAACCTCGCCCGTCGGCTTTCGCTCCCGGCTTCCCTATCGGAAATAGTATTCCAACTCGTTTTCGTACGAACTCAATTTAGTTGCCTAAGCCCTCTTTCTCGCTACGAAAAAAGCTTCTTAAAGGAAAGTCGGCCGAGACCCACCTCCGGACTACGGACGAGCCGCTTTCGAACCGCTTAAGCAATAGATTGACCACCCCGTGACAACCGAATTGGGCGACTCGAAACCCGTCTCCAACCCTCATTAAACATTATCCGTCTTTCTATCACTAGTAGGTCCCGGCGAACCTCGCTTTTGAAATAGCTCGACCGATAGGGAAAGGGTTACATCCGCGAGAGGGTAAGCGTAGGGGGAAATCACGAAGACAGGCCACACATACTTGGCTTTACGCGATAGGGCACTTTTTTAAGACTTTCACCTTTGAAGCTCACTTGACAGAGGGGTAGCAGGGGCTTTGGAATTGAGCTCTAAAGATAAGGTAATAGTTCCATACAAGGAGCGATAGATAGATAGCTCGACTAGAAGGAAAGGATCTTTGGAATTTCATAATGGATACGAATCAGGTCTTCTTCCCCTCTTATAAGTAGCTATCCTTATGATGAGCCAAGGAATAGAATGGATCGGTAGGCAGTTGAAAATGACTCAATTCATAAGATAAGTCAAGTTCACCGGCTTTCAAGCCTCTTTGCATGATTCCATGTAACTGATTCGTACGAGGTAGGAGTGACCTCAAACAGGGGAAAAAGATCTTCGTATATTAGATATGTCACTGAAACAATCTGTTCTGTCTCTGTTTTCTTTTCGGATTCCGAAGATGAGCCGGCCAATCCTAACATCTTTATCTGAGGTTGGGTCCCCCTGCGTCGACCGGCTCCTCAGATAAAGATGTCTCCGACGCTACTTTCTCGGCAAGAACAACTTTTTCTATTGTGATTTTTTTGGCGGGTTCGGTCAGAAGAGACAAAAGAGAGATTTTATATCAGTCAAAAGCGGATACCGCCCCCCATGCTCCCACGGTCCGCTTACCGAGGTGCGGAGCGGGAGTACCCGGGGCCAGAGCAAGTTGAGTTGGGGTATAGAGCCGTAAGCGCGATGGGGGGTTTCAGAGGACGTGCTCGTACGGTTCATAGAAGGGTATGATCAACTCGTTGATTGTTGGGAACTTTCACTCCTCTATATTCGAAATATGCCTTTCTAGGAGCATTACGATCTGCAGCTCAAATGGTCTCTTATGAAGTCTCTATTGGTCTTATTCTTATTGTGCGCCTTGTGAGCGCGTTTGGATCCGCGAAGGCAATCGCTCGGATGTTCCCCTAACCCAACCCGGGAACGAACCGGAGGGAACCGCAGCATGGGGAATGTCCGCGTCTCGTCGCAAGGCTCATTTTTAGTTGTGGGTCATAGGGCGGGCAGCTTTTTCTGATCAAGGGCCGGGGCACAAGGGTCCTGGTACTATCCAGGTGCGAAGAACCCCGGAGGTGACTGCAATGAGCAGAAATCTCACTCACCGGCCTAAACGACGAGCAAACACTCGAACGTGAGAGCAAGGGATCGCCCAACGAATGGACGAACTCCAAGGAGGGAGGCAAAAACCATGCTTTCAGAGAAGTGGCGGTCCGAATCTTATCTGAACTGCGAGAATAACTGACTAAGCCGTGCCATAAGGCCCATTCTCCAACTCCAAACGGAACGGGGCCAAGCCTTTAGGTTGTTTAAGGAGGTTGGGTGACAGATCGGCCATAGGAGTACTCCGGGGTATAAACCAGGGCAACAAATGTCGAGCATACGACGATGCCGCCCGTTTTCATTTCATGGAAGTCCCCGGCAGAGGAAAGGGCTGTAGGTGATGGCACGCTTTGCTTCTTATCTGGAGAGGGGCGCTGAAATCGTTCCTATTGGGTCGTGCGTGGCAGCTAGTATAGATGAATAAGGGCGGCCGCGGGACCTATTCTCTTAACTTAATAGGTGGCAAGGCTGAATAGGAAAGGGGCCGAGCTGCCTGATGAGTGCCTTTTTAGCCTTTTTCTAAAGGCTCTCATGTGAAGCTAACATGGCTGGCTACATACAAGTATAGCCAAATCAAGATGAGACGGGACGGACGGTCAGAGGCCGCCGCGGGACTACCATAGGAAAGCCCGCCCCCGCTAGCTAACATAGAAAGATATTCCCAGATAACAGTAGTCTGTCTCTATGTGAATCTCTTCCCGACCAGGCCAGGCCGAATCGGGCCACCACTTGGGATGGGAATGGCTCAGCCCACATGCATCATTTGATGAAAGCACTCCAGTCGCCTCCTCGAAGTGGCTTGTCAACCACGTTTTCCCTCCCTAAAAAGAATGTTCCAAATGCCCTTCCTTGGGCAAGACAGCAATGAGTAGTTCGCTCCAGGACTCCATTCCCTCGAGAGCAGGATGCCGACCGAGATGGAGCTGGGAGCCAACCTAGACTTTCCTGGGGCTTGCCCCAACACCTAAAGAAAAGGTGGGCGCCGAAAAGTACGCAGCCCAGCCTCTTCAAGAAAGCTTTGCTTGGTAGGCGCTGCCTACTCACTCAGACAATGCTCTGAACACGAAAGTGTGCAGTTCCGCCCCCTTCTCCCATGCTGAGTCACAGGTAGCGCCTAGGAAAGCACGGACGAGCCACATGCAGGGAAACTTGCACGTGTGGTTCTGGCCGGGGACTCCGGTATACTGTACTAATATGTGTGGGTCCCCGTAATTCGAGTGAGATTGTCATGGCGCAAAAGCAGATATGGTCTGGTATTCCCTTGTTCCCTGTATTGGTTATGTTCTTCATTTCTTGTCTAGCAGAAACTAATCGAGCTCCGTTTGATCTCCCGTGCTTGAAGCCGAATCGGGCCATGTGCTATTATCGACCTTGAAATCCGCTTTACCCGGCCGCTTATCGACCGAGACCCCTTCGATGGATGTCACCGTGCTTGTCTCTTCTCAACTGGATTTGGCTTCTATTTAAGACTTATTGAATCTAACTACTAGCATCGGTCCCTTCCACTCGGCAAAGACCCCTCTTTCGTTCGAGCAAAGGACGCCTAATCTGAAATACGGGTTTTCCTCGATGCGAAAGAGCTAGATCAGTATTTTATCTGGGACGAATTCCTACTTACTTTTCTTAGTAATGGTAACGTCTGCAAAGGCAAATCACAGGGTGGAAGTGGACTCAGATGATGGTATCCCAAAATCAGTCCAAGCCCTCAACGACCCAGCCTCTCGAATGACCGTCTGACTACTCCTCCCCCGGCGACCTCTTCTTCTCTAGGCAGGCAGCCGCCAACTCGAGGATCTCATCTTTGGTGTATATTCCTCGAAACGCGAGGTCACGATCCCCCTTAGTCACGTAGGCCGCGGGCCAGCGAAGAATGGTCCCACTCTGGCAGAGCCATCAACGAAGATGGATTCCCAGTGTTCTGTATACTCCAATGCCCTCTCATTTGCGCTTTTCCCGAAAACCACGTACGTCAAAGGATAGGCATTAGTGAGCCCCGTATGTTGGCGTGGAATCTTGATTGCTTCTTGGTTTGCTGGAAACAAGGCTTTCATAAGGTGCTCTATGGTCGAGCGGCTGGACACTCCTTTCATTTCCCGTCCATTAACCCGAACTCAAGACTGTTGAAGACATGAGGAGATGTAGCTTCAAAGATGCTGTTCAAACTTCCTATCTTTTTCATTCCCCACTTCAATGTGCCAATCAATGCGCTACGCTGGCAAAAGGGCTGTCAGAAAGAGTCCAATCCCGAGGAGAGTTCATGCGTGAAGTTTCTTTGTTGAATGAAGGTGAGTTCAAGGGCTTCTTTGATCGGGAAATGCACGCACTTCTTTTGTTGTCGTTAAGGTCCCTTCCCCCTGAGTTCAAGATGTCCCTTTCCGCTTCTCTTTCAGCTACTTCCCTCATTGGGATTGGTCAAGCTCCTTCACTTATTGCTCGATCCGATCCGGAACCTGGTATCGGGACAGCACCTTTTCTTCCTGCTGGTGGAGTCCCCCTGTCCCGCTAAGTTCCTCTACCTCGGAAGTCTAGTTGTAGCTTTGAGCGGGTGGACCCATGTTCTGGTCTCGGAGTCACCTAAGCGGCAGAGTCTCGTGAACTCGGGTTGGTCCGAGAGCAGCTTTGCCTTTCAACCTCTGCAACCGGATTGGGCATGACAGAACACAGCCGGGAACGAGCTCCTTTCCACCTTAACTAGCCGTCTCATCTCAACCTTTTACTTCGTGGAAATGTTGTATAATCTATCAGATGTAGACTACTTTCATTCCACTTTCATATTTCTATATAGTCTTTTTCGCAGCGTTGCGGCCCTTCTCTCTCTCGCGCTACGCTAGTGACGCTTATATCCGTTGCTTCTCGCATTCTTCTTCCCTCTCATTTTCTTTCTTTCTTTTGAAGTCGAGCTTAGCCATCTCTTCCAAAGTGTCCCGTGCTCTTGTCTTTCGCTCTATGGCAAGCAAAGGATTTGCGCCTATTCCGGGTACAGCAGCGTGGTAAATAAACACGGTTATATAATATAATAGTAATGTGGAGAGCAAAGCAAGAAAGCATTCGTCAATCAGGATCGGTGCTCAGGCTACCCATGAACACCCAATCGGATCTGTCAAGAAGAGTTTTCGACTAGGATTGGTCCTGTCTGTAGCGTCCTATCCTAGTAAACCAGGCAATCATTTGATTTTTTTTTTAGGAGCTTTCCTTGGCAAAACCTTGTTTCTATCTTCTCGCTTAGAGCGGTAGGAAGTCTATTTTTCAACTTTTTATCACGTAAGGAGAGGCGGGAAGAGTAGCTCAAGCTTGTGATTGAACAAGCAGGGTTCCTGGAGTGGAGCCGTAGTAAAGGCTAAGTAGGCGAACATCCCTTCTCTTCTTTCTTCTCTCTTATGCAATTTCTGGTTATAAGTTTAGTTCACTCTGAAAAGCAACTCAATTGAATCCAGTTTAGCTACTAGCTACTTTTTTACTTTTGTTTACCGAGGGTGAGGGGGGCCGGCGAAAAGAAAAACAACCTACAGCTGCTAATGAGGAAAAAGGAGGGGGGCATAGGATTTTGAAATCTTTCGCAGCAGCTTGAATTGCCTTTGCATTCCCGAGCTGGTGTGGCGCGTCAACTGAGTCCAGGTGCCCGAGTGATATCCTCAGCAATGTTGAGTGGTATTATGAGAGGCGGGAAGCTACCGCTTCTAGAATGAAAAGAGAGCAGTCCAGGGATCGTAGTGCTAGACCAGGGAAAAAGATTAAGTCAAAGTTTATATATAATATATATAGAGTCGAGTAGATATGAACTGAATCAGTATCTTTCGCTTGGAAAGTAGTCCACTAAGTGGAAAGGTATCGAAGTCCTAGAGCTTCTTCGTGCAAGGAATCAATGCTCGGCCTTTCCGGGCTTGGGATGGCGGTGGAATCTGGGGTTCCCAACAAGCAAGCTTGTTTCCGAATTCCTTCCTTACCGCAGTAATCGGTGAGTAGTAGCAAGTAGGAATAGTCGCCAAATAGACTGTAATTAGTCTTAGTGCCGTAGTAGGATTACCTTCTGCCACCTTCCCTCATGTCCCTTAACCGGGCCGACAAGCAAGCATTCCCGGGGCTCTGCCTAAAGAATAGAAAGAGAAGTTGCATCCTAATCCGCTCCTGGTGGAAGGTTTGAAGGAAATAAACTCATGCAGCCGTGGTGCGCTGCAGAGTCTTTTTGAAGTTTAAGAAGAATGGGTTCTCACAGAACAGGTTGTGCTAGAATTAGTATCCAACCGTATCCGGTGTTTCGGCAGAGAATAAGCTCTTCTGCGAGAGTTCAGAAGAAAGATTTGCTAACCGTGAAACTCATCTGCCCTGCAGTAAGAAAGGTAGACTGCGTTCAGAAAGGCAGCTCAACCAGTAGCCGGTGTAAGCAATCGAATCATCATAAAGGTTAGCAGGGCAACAACATTCGCCGAGACAATTCACTTTGAAAGTACAGGGAAGCTCCGCCGGGCAAAGAATTCCCTTCAGTGGCGTAGAGATTCTATCTCGAGTTACCGTCGCATCAATAGGAAGCACCGGTTACTAGAGCTTTTTAAGCAAGAGCGTCTGATTGAACAAAAGCCATTCTTGAACAACGGCTATAGCACCAGCTTCCCCCTGATCTGACTAATCTTTCATTTTCTCGGGATTTTTGCTTGCAATCCGATTTCCCTCCTAAGTGAGACTTCAATGGTGACATTGGAGCGTTTTCCCCGTGATTTTGGTATCAAGTCAATTTCCCTTCCTAGACGTCAATTGAAATCGGACAACTTTAGAAAACAGCGTGTTTTTCGTCTAAATGCATTTTCCCTTCCTAAGTGACATAAAAAGAGTGCCACTTTCTTCTTCCAACTTTTCGATCTTCCCATTCAGGGTCCTTCTTCCCCTAATTCTTTCCATTCTACCGACGAATAATCTAGAATAATTCGCAAATCCAGATCGGCTAATAGTTCTCGGATAGCACCGGCTCCAGTAGAAATTTCTCGATTTCGAAATGTATCGAACCCTTGGGTAGTAAAAAAAGCGGAATACTGTATTTCCAAGATTGTATTTCATATTCGAATAAACCTCGTAATCGTAAGAAAGTAGGTTTTTTGACTATGGGCCTAGCAAAAGAAAAATTGGGATAGGATCCTATAGGATCTCCCCCTTCAAAATCGGACGTGAAAGTTTCTTTTCATCCGGCTCAAGTAGTTACACCAAATAAAGATAAAATAAAGGGTTCCTGCTTTCAAAATGGATAAAACCCAAAAAGGAGCCACTCCTTACTCAAGTTCCCAATGAAGACCAAGCAACATTTCATTGATTCATTCTTCTTTTCCGTTTTTTTTTAGAATTTCTGAATTCTTTATTCAATTATCACAATTACGACCTAAATGCAATGCGAAATTCTTGAGTAGTCTACTTCCCTTCGAATGATGAATTCCAAGATACTGGGAATTCGAGGGATTTACTTGTCTATGTCTTCTTCCATTCGATCTTTTAGGTCCCGAACTCGACTCGACCTCGACGGTGCTATCACACATACAATCATACTCAATTCGATGGAATTGTTTGATCTTAAAGGGGATCTTCTATAATTTCGCACGTGAGGGGTTATTTCTTGGTTTTGTCCAGTCATTAATAACTTTCTTATTTTTAGTCTTTCTTTTTTCGCATGCCTCAACTGGATAAATTTACTTATTTTACACAATTCTTCTGGTTATGCCTTTTCTTCTTTACTTTCTATATTTTTATATGCAATGATGGAGATGGAGTACTTGGGATCAGCAGAATTCTAAAACTACGGAACCAACTCCTTTCACAACGGAGAAAGAAGATCCGGAGCAAGGACCCTAACAGTTTGGAAGATATCTTGAGAAAAGGTTTTAGCACCGGTGTATCCTATATGTACTCTAGTTTATTCGAAGTATCCCAATGGTGTAAGGCTGTCGACTTCTTGGGAAAAAAAGAACTTTGATCTCTTGTTTCGGAGAAATAAGTGGCTCCCGAGGAATGGAAAGAAACATATTCTATTTTATCTCGAAGTCCTCAAAGGGCACAGGATTTAATCCTGGATGGGGGATCACTTGTAGGAATGACATAATGCTAATCCATGTTCTACACGGCCAAGGAAGCATCGTTTTTTAATCTCATTATGGTCGTTCGGAAGAGATTCTTTCTCGATCAGAATAGTGGAATGGAAAGCACTACAAGAAAGATATACTCTTTTTCAAATCGCCCCGCGAAGACGGATGTTCATAAAGTTTTTCGAAATTATCTTATCAATCGCTCTTTTTTTTTTAGTGGGGAGCAATAGTTCGGGAAGGGAGCGAGACCAAGCCGAGCCACTAGGAGAGTAAGCTCTTCCCACGTGTCAAGTTTCATAAAGAAATGCAGCCTCAACCAGAGAGATCAACCTGCGCCGCCGCCGACGGCGCAGAACGCACTAATCCGCGACCAGCAAGTTTTCCAAAACCGAACTGAATGGAATTCTTACTTTCCAAAAATGCTTTCTGAAAATCAAAGAAAGAAGATCCATTTTCCCACGTAGTTCGTCGGTTAAACCAACGATTCTCTTCTCAAAGTCAAAGTAATAGAGAGATCTTGTTAGACTTCTATCAATGCAATGAAAGAACTATCCCTTCCTATTTGTTTGTCCTGTCAGATATAAAGAAAATTAGACCCCAAAGAGCCCTTCTTTACCACGTTAGGAGGTAGGGGTGAAGGGGAGGTTTACATAATACAACCGACGCAAAGTTGTTTATGATTGAATCTCAGAGGCATTCTTATCATTTGGTAGATCCAAGTCCATGGCCTATTTCGGGTTCACTCGGAGCTTTGGCAACCACCGTTGGAGGTGTGATGTACATGCACTCATTTCAAGGGGGTGCAACACTTCTCAGTTTGGGCCTCATATTTATCCTATATACTATGTTTGTATGGTGGCGCGATGTTCTACGTGAGTCCACGTTGGAAGGACATCATACCAAAGTCGTACAATTAGGACTTCGATATGGTTTTATTCTGTTCATCGTATCGGAGGTTATGTTCTTTTTTGCTTTTTTTTGGGCTTTTTTTCATTCTTCTTTGGCGCCTACGGTAGAGATCGGAGGTATTTGGCCCCCAAAAGGGATTGGGGTTTTAGATCCTTGGGAAATCCCTTTTCTTAATACCCTTATTCTCCTTTCATCCGGAGCTGCCGTAACTTGGGCTCATCATGCTATACTCGCGGGGAAGGAAAAACGAGCAGTTTATGCTTTAGCAGCTACCGTTTTACTGGCTCTAGTATTCACTGGCTTTCAAGGAATGGAATATTATCAAGCACCCTTCACTATTTCGGATAGTATTTATGGTTCTACCTTTTTCTTAGCAACTGGCTTTCATGGTTTTCATGTGATTATAGGTACTCTTTTCTTGATCATATGTGGTATTCGCCAATATCTTGGTCATCTGACCAAGGAGCATCACGTTGGCTTTGAAGCAGCTGCATGGTACTGGCATTTTGTAGACGTGGTTTGGTTATTCCTATTTGTTTCTATCTATTGGTGGGGGGTATATGAAGGAACGAAAGAGTGGATTGAGGAATGAAAGCTCGAAGACAAAGAGAATCGGGCTTTTCCAAAGAATTACTGCAGCTTTGCTGCTCCCTTTGATTATCATATACAAAAAAGTCTCTTCCACTTTCCTACCAAATCTCTCTTTATTCTGGCATATAAATGAAGGGATCGAAGAGATTATGGCAGATTATGTTCACCAAGAAATGACCCGAAATTGGATCTTGGTCTATTTGAGATTGTTCCTTTTAATCGTAATCAAAGATGTTTTCTTGTCTTTCGTTTCTTTTCTGAACAAATCGAAGAACCTAATGGATTCAATTCAGACAGTTAAGATACTTTCATCGGCCTTCAGGAGCGTAGCCTTATTCCTCAAATCAATTACTCTTAGGCTTACCATTATTAAAGAATTCCGGGTTTTCCCTTAGAGTTACCGCCCCGTGGGAACACCGGATAAGAGGATAATCGCAAAAATCAATGTGGGAATAGCGGTCAATCTCAGATAAGTCGTCTTTTTTATTGATAGCACGTGATTCGGTCTTATTCGTCGTAATTCGATTAGTTAAGAAAACGGGATTTCCGTAGAATTGATAGAGGCAATCTTGCCATTTAGAATAGAATCTTCTTGCCCAGTCCTAAGAAAGAAAAGAAAGAAGGCATATAGATTAAATCATAAGAGAAGGAAGGGGGATTAGCCACCCCTCGTGCTAATAATAAAAAGTAGCGATTCCTAGCCTTATTAGTTAGAAAAGTAATCGAAGGGTTACAGAAGTACTATTTAAGAAAGGGAATCCAGAGTACTCTCTCGACGGGTAGGGAATCAATCTATTTGATTGAAGGAAGGTATTCGTGTACGGGAATCGAAGTGATTAGAACAGAACTAATCCCGTGGTTAGAGCAAAGGACGGAAAATCCTTCCAGTCCTCGATAGGGAAAGGAAAGGTAGGAGCACGCCGACGAGGCAAGTAGACCGAGACGACAGAAGGGATCCGCAAGGATCGTTACGAGCGATTAGGACCCTAAGACTCCCTCTTCCCCTATTCCTGAACCCCAGAATTAGACTCTTGAGCTGGGTGCCGGGGTAAAGCATTTAAAGGAAAGAGACCTAGGCCTTTTATTCCCGATTCGCTAAACAAGAGATCAATTCACTAAGCGGACAGGCAGGGCAGGAATGCGCCTTCTGGAGCTATTCCTTTGACTCTCAACTCATACTTAAAAAAAAAAGAGAGGAAGACAGACTAATAGTACTACTAAATAGAGGGTTGAGGGGGAACAGAAATAAGTAAGGGATACTTTACGACACTGCCGCTCGACAACTAGACTGGAAAGCCAAGTTGGCCTTTCTCCAAAACTCCTGGTATGGATTCTGATAAGAAAATCAAAACCCTAAACCCGACTCTAAAAACTTTGCCGGCTGTGGTACTTATTATTGGAAGATGCGTCTTCTTCCTTCTCAGATGGCCTTAGCGTCAGAAAGCAGCTCGGGAAGAGCTACTACTAAATTTGAAAATGTTCATTTTTCCGGCCTGTCTTGTAAATGTGTCTCTACCTCTAGCGTTCTTGTCTTGCACGAAAGAGCAGTTCCGCTTTCTATTGCGCACTCAAGCCAAGGAGCTAAATAAGGGAAGACCACAGCGGAAACTAGCAGAGTGAAGCTCCCAACCACGAGAGGGGTGCGCTCTTTCTTCTTTCTTGTCTTTAGCCTGGCGTAGCGCACGATAAGTTCATCCCGAAAAGACGAAATGACTTGCTCGGTTCGCTTGGATCGACTTATCCCTTTGGCATACTAATTTACATTAGCCTCGATATGCTTAAAAGTGAGTGCCTTTGTACCTAACTCAGGCCTGTGTAGTGGGTGGGTAGACAAGGCAGTCAAAGTAGGACTCGCTTGTTTCGTCCGTTCGGCTCGTACAGTTCTTGCTTTCAAGGCTCAGGTGGGCCGCTTAGGTTTGTAGGGGATAGGCATATAAGGGCAGGACTTGCACTTAAAAAAAAAAGTGTATTAGGCCCCAGACTTCGCTATCGCCCCTCAGTCCAAGACGGACGCAGAGCTCTCACCTAGGTAACAATCTCGCGTGGGTAAGAAGAAAGCATCAAAGCTAGGCCTTTCATTCAAATTCAAAAAGGCGCAGAACGGTGCAGGAGATGGAACAGTAGCTAGAGCTGGTTCCGGATCAGGCAACAGTGGTTTCAACCGGAGAAGGAGCAATTAGAGCACTCTAGTTCCCGTCCTATACTATAGTTCTCGTCCTGCCTTCCCAACAGCTACCACATCCGATTTTCTTTTTCTCTCTTCCCTTCCGACAAGACCGGGTATTCCGACAACAGAAGAATTGCCAACAAAAGAAGAAGCAGATAAGAGAGCAAGATTCGTTCAAAGGGAAGAGCTTCTTCTCTCCGTCTGGGGTTCTGGCTGAGGCCTTAGTCGGGCAAATTTCCAGAGGGATTAGGCGAGGAGTTAGCAGGTAGTAGTGGTAAAGACTATTTACTCGCGAGGGGCTTAAAAGCTCCTTTAATAAGTCAATTGATTGCCCGAAAGTCTTGGATTGAGAAGGTCCATTCCCTTCCTTTTTTCCCTTATAGGAAGATAAATATGAATAGTCAATCTATCCCACTAGCTCAACCACATCTGATTCTAGCACAACAGCCAAAGAGCTTCTTCCCCAGAATATTCTGTGCATCCATGAATCCTTCCTTCCCATTTCCATTTCTACGGTATCGTATAATAGAAGAAATGCCACATTTGACCCAAGGAAAGCAACTTCACTCCTGAGGGAAGGGGATTGGGGGACGGAAGTGACATATATAAAGAGTAGGCATCGAATACAAGCTGTTTTCAATTCAAGCCTACTACTGATAAGGAGAATGGAAATCCTTTTTCGGGGGTGAAAGAAGCTCGGGATTACGCTGATTTACCTAAGGAAAAAACCTCGTAGAAGTACTGATGATCTCCGTAAAGTCTTTGGAAAACTGGTGCTATCGTAACTCTCACTGGTTTTGACTCTGAAGTTAGTAAGACCTATAGGCCTTTTAGACGGAATTCGTCTTAGTGCCTTTCTTACTGGATTTCATGCTTACCCGCTACCCTTTCAAAAGACAAGCTCTCCCGTCAATCTCCGATGAATCAAGTCAGGGGGTAGAATCTGCTGTTAGGGCAAAAAGCAGGTGGCATTGCTTAGGGCTATTCAAGCATCGAGAAAGACAAAAAGCTAGCTCTTAGATGGGACATTAACGGGTAACTAGAAATTAAGGGTGAGATCCGAATACGTGCCTTCACCTCATCGAAGGTTTAGAAGCCTTGGGCATTAACAATAGCAGCAGTACAGGAAGCTTGACACAGATGTGGCACTTCCTGCCTTTCCGATCGGATCAATAGCTGTCACGTATCGAAGGGGAAGAGAGCATAGCAATAGGACTAAGAGAAGGCCAATCCCCTGCTGTTGGAAGGTTTGCGGGGAAGAATTGGACAAGATGTGAAAGTTACTCTTCGAGAATGCCTTACTTCATCCGCAGCAAGAGAAGTTGCTCTTTTCGTCTTATCCGCTGTTCTCTTATTCTTAGACTAGCTGCTTTCTGCCGGTAGTGCAACTTTCTTCTGTTCTTTCTTTGCAGGAGGAAGAGAAGAGAGAGAGGTCCCAAGAAGACCAAGTTCATGCTATCAGCCATAAAGCTAAGAAAGGCTTTCAGAAAAAATGCCCACATTAGTACACTTGGTTGACCTTCTTCGTTCTACCACTTCAGGTCCCAATCTTTGTGATGTCCCTTAGTTAGCTGGGCATACCATTCTCATGTTCCCGAAAGATGGCATATTAAGTGATATGCTTAACACATCTTGGACTCTGCTTTCTAGATTGATCTTTAGCTTCAAGACCCGATCCTTTCTCCTGTTCCTGAAACCGAATTAGTGTCTTTTGATTAGCTGTCACATTCGGTCAAATGGCACATTCGGAAGGTGTGAAATTGGCCAGTGTGAAGTTTCCCTTTGGTGAGGTGATATCGATTGCTTGAGTAATGGTAAGCGGGCTAGTCCCCAAAAATGCTCGTTCCTTTGTTGTTGGGGCTTACAATTCGCCTTGGGACTCGCGGTCGAGCGTTCTTCGGCTTCGGACGTCGATCAATCTATCACTCAATCCCTCCGTTCGGTCTGGCTAGTATCCTTCGCTCGCCTTCAACCTTAAAGTAGGCTACAGTCTAAAAGACCTCCTTTCCTTCCGCTAGGCGTAGTGCAGTAGCTCTTGGGGATAAGAAGAGACCGACTGATGAACGAATTTTCTCTCTTATGTTCCTGAAGGAGTGAGTGAACGGTGCAAGCGGGGCAAGATCAAGTGTTGCGGTTTGATGAATCGGAGGAAAGATTGCCTGCTCTTTCGTCACAGCCATCAAGCTAGCAAGAAGACTACTTCCCGCCCTACTCTCTATTGAATAAGAAGACAAGAAAGAAGAGGAAGAGAGATCTTCCCCTCCGAAACCTATAGCTGAACTATTTGCTTCTCACATTTCAAATCTGACAGCCAACTCCTCTCCCTTTGTTCGAGCGTATACTAACCTCTCCCACCCTTAGTTTAGGGCGAGCTTTTTACAACTATCTATCTCCTCCGCAGTCGCTGATTCCATCTCTACTTATTCGTCGACTTCTTGAAGCTACTCTCCTGTAGTATCAGTCGTTTATAAAGTTTGAGTTCTTTTTTCAATCTCTTTTTGTAACTGACTTGGAAGTTGTTCTTTCAGTTGAATAAGAAAGAGAAATTTCTTAGGTCTGATCGTCGAAAGAGCATGCCACTATGCTTGACACATGCTCTTCGATGTGGGATTTAGCTCCTAGCTTGAAGCTACTTTCTTACTCATCAGTACAAGAATCCGCTCCTAGAGAATAGTCTGTTACAGAAGATTCCATAGCAGTAGTTTCATTCCTATTTATTCTATGGTAAGAAGCAAATTCCCTAGTCGAAGAAGTATGACCACAATCGGATTGAGAGACAGAATAAGTTGTTAAAGAAGAAGTTGCTCCCGTAAGCGGTGCAAGAGTAAGCACCGGTACTCTTGCTAGAGATTTTTCTAGTGTTCAATCATCCGGTGCTCTCTTTCCTGTCTCGCCCCTGAGTGTAGTTGATTTAAGAGCCCAGGAACTACTTCCTAACTACGGGGATCTTTTTTCAGGCCTCTCATTTTGTCTTGCTCTCTGGCTCGGGAGACGAGTGCAGCCCCGTAGTTAGTTCATTCAACGGAGAGGGAAAGCAGAATTCACATATTACCAGAGGTCGTGTAAAAACTCAAAAAGAGGAAGATTTTAGGGAAGAATCGATCGAAATGAATCTCAGTGATCTGTACGATCAAGACTTTTTAGTCGAATGAAGCAGGCGGGGATGAGAGGCATTCGAAACCAGTGAGAAAATTAGGGGATCGAAGGGTGATATACGGGAAAAACAAGGGATGGATCATCGACTGGTCTTTCAAAGCCCAGATATTCAAAAACATGGTTCCGGCGCAGCTACCCGCTGGCATCTGGTTCAAAATGCTGCTTCCTCTCCCAGTCAGTGGAGTAGACAGACCGTGTCGCGCTTGGGAATCACTTCTTCACGGATAGCTTCATTGCTTTGCCTTATATTTCCGAAGGGGGGTGAAGGTTAGGAAAGCAGGAAATGGCAATAAAGAAAAGTAATCAGGAGAGGAATCGGGTGACGAAGGAAAGTCAGAAGGGAAGGCATACCCCTTAAGTCCCACATATCCTTCTCGAACAGCGCTTAGGCATGAGGTTACCTTTCTAACTGGGGATGATTGAACAGCGGGTTCACAGTTGCCTTTAAAACTCCAACAGCGTTTACTCTTTCACCAGTTACTTTTACACCGTCTACTGGTTGAGCTGACAGGTTCACAGCCCCTACTCGTAGTTCTCAATCGGATGCTTCCTTAACAACTATCTTTAGAATGTCCTCTCTCTCTTCAACGCCGAGCCGAGACGTTTCCTTCAAGCTCTTGACGGAAAAAGACTATGAGAGGTCGACAAAAAGATTGGCGCTGACTTCGTTGATGAAGTGCAGTACCCCACTTTGATCGCTAAGAAGGTATGTAGCCAAAAGTCCCTTCTCAATGGGAATCGGGCCCCGTGTTCGCCGCTGGGGGGCTTTCTCTCTTTATCTGGTATATGAGATGGAAGAAGACTCAGTTCCTTTTGCACTTTTTTTTAGCTTTTCAAAAAGGAGATGATCAACTTCATTCTTTTTGCCTCACCTCAGTCTTTAGACTCATCCTTCAGTCGTCGATAGCGACAGCACTATAGAGAGGGGCCGTCCACTCACCCTATGCCGCTTTCTCGTCATTTGACGTCATACCACTTCCTATGATCTCGCTCTTATCAAGCTGATCCCGATAATTCACATCCGAGGAACTTTTTGTGCTAGATTGGATTTTCTCTCTCTCTCTCTCTCTCTCTCTCTCTCTCTCTCTCTCTCTCTTCTTGCCCGGGATTGCGCCGTGCTCCGACCGTTCTAAGACTCCCATCCCCGAGAGCCTTTGTTTATAGCTCGCCCGTGCTTTCGGCGAGATCTTCTACCATGACTTTTTTATTCTTCTTCCTTTCGCCTGGTGAGGATCTCTTTTCGATACGGTATCATTGAGGTCTTGTTGAGGTGAACCTCAGCATTGCCTCCTCAACAATCACTTTTGTGTGCGGGGTATAGGCACGGAGTTGTGGTGCTCTTTCTCTGGCTCAGGAGAGCAATCGTCCCTGAAGATGAATGGCGAGTGACTATCATGATAGGGTTCAGATACCTTTGCTTACTGCCATCTTTTTTTTTTGCCCCCCACTGAGATGTGCGGCTTCTGTGAGGGTTTGAAGCGGTCAGGTCAGCCTTGACTCCTAGACAGCGAGCTGTGCCAACAAGATTTTCGTTCTTCCGGCCAGGACCAATTCCGCCTAAGGCCATGATCGAGTCATGACGAGCTAGACTGATGACGCTCTTTCAAGGACCAGCTAAACTATCTAATGATGATGATCAGACGTTGCTTCGGATGTGTATGAGAAAGAAGCTTCTCACAGATATTGACTTTTAGATAGATACCAGCATAGTATCTTAATTAGCAGTTTCTTGAACTTGGTTGCAGTAAAGAACGTTCTTTTCTGGGAAGCTCTTGCTTATACAATATCTGATTAAATTAAATTAACCACTCTCTCATTCAAGATTGGACGTTATTCTGGTTCGTCTCCATTTTTGTGAAACTATTCCTCAAGCAAGGCAGCTGATAAGTCATCGAAGGGTTTGTGTGAATAATAGAATGGTAAGCATTACTCATTTGAAAGTGTCCCACGGTGATATAATTCAAGAAAATGACGCAAGAATCCGCGGTGAAGAAATAAGGAGATCTTTCTATATCGAAATATAGTTGAAAAATCATAGAAATTGATCACCTTGCCGAATGTGAGAAGAACCAAACGCATTGGGCTTCGTTCCGGGTAGTGTTTAGTCATAAGCCTTTCTCTTTGGGTTTTCACTTGTCTGCTTTCGTTCCACTCCTTTACAGTGCTTTAATTAAGTAAGAGTTCAAAGAATAACCTATAAGAATAAATTTTTTTAATACCCGAAGTCTCTCGGAACTGACCTCAGCGACTTGAACTTCCTATCGGCTTCGAGCCGAAAGACAGTGAAATGGAACCCGGAATAGATCTAGCTTTACGAAATCTTTTTAAGACAGTCAGTCATCGATTGACTGCTATTCCCACTTCTGAGGAGTGAAAGGCTGGAAAGCAGTTCTTTTCCTAGGTTGACTCATGAGTTGGTGTGCAAGACCAATTGCTAGGCTCTCCTCTTGCTTAGATGTTCTAACAGCGGGATTTTAGCTTTGCAGGATTTTATTCCAATTTGAGTAGAAAATAAAAATTCTCTTTATTCCTCCGTTCATACGTATTTCATACATTCCATATTCATATATGGAGTTAGATAAAATTTTATGTGATTCTGTAAACAGAATATCAATTCCATCAGTGCTGGATCGATCCATATAATTTATTGAAAAACGATCCAATAATGGGATTTCTTTTTCAATAAATGGGAAATTAAAAATGCTTGGGGATGGAAATGGGGGAATGTCTACAATACCTGGATTTAATCAGATACAATTTGAAGGATTTTGTAGGTTCATTGATCAGGGCTTAGCAGAAGAACTTTATAAGTTTCCAAAAATACCCTATACACCCCTCTGCCCCTTTAGGGTATATATAGCCAAGGCCAAGTATCCTATACAAACCCCAGCCACTTTAGGGTATATATAGCCAAGGCCAAGCTGCTATAGTATACAAATACACTCTTATATTATCTTTTACCCTATACAACCTTCTGCACCTTTAGGGTATATATAAAATACACTCTTATATTATCTTTTACCCTATACAACCTTCTGCACCTTTAGGGTATATATAAAATACACTCTTATATTATCTTTTACCCTATACAACCTTCTGCACCTTTAGGGTATATACACTCTTATATTCTCAAATACCCTATACTAGCCCCGATAAATCCCAAGATATCATCGCCGGTCTTTCTCTACAATGAGAATTGAACAGGATTCTTCTCATTACTGTTAGAGAGAGTGGATCTTTATATTTAAATAAAATGAAAAAAAGATCCAGGGTAAGGCTAAGGGGCAGAGATTTCATCTTATCTAAGATGTCACCCCAGCTCGTCATGATCTAAGATGTCACCCCAGCTCGTCAATACCCTTGCACTAGGAATAAACGCGGCCCCCGACAAAAATCCCATCTCGCCGGTATCTCTCTACAATGAGAGAGTGTTAAGTGTTTATTTAATAAATAAACCAGGGTAAGGCTAACGGGGGAAAGTCTGAAAGATGACTCTGAGGTTACCTCAGGCCGCAAGAGGCATCAAGCACTAGCCTTGGACGACGGATACTACTCCGCACCTAAAAGTGCTAACTTTAAAAAACAAAAAATTATGATTATTTTCATTTTATATAGTACAGGGAGTACTTACAAATCAGGTATCAAAAGATATTCTAATGTTTCAGGTCTTTCCATTGACGGATGTGGCAACGGTAACGGATTTGGCAACGGTAACGGATTTGGCAACGGCAACGGCTCATCTCAGTCTAGTGATGAGATTTCGTTGAATACTCTTACTAACTATATCCATCTATCATACTCTGAATTATCTGAGAATTTTCCTAATTTGACAAAAGAGAAAGTGAATGAAATAACAATGTCCATAATGGATGGTACTTACACCCAGTCTCCCCTAAGAATAAGGCCATTTATTGATTCTAAAAATGAATTGGGTATCAAGCTTTATGTTATGGATAGATTCAATAATAAAAAACCATTTGAAGTTTATTCACAGGAAGAAGACAACCTTGTTCAACTTTCGCTGGCATTTATGTTAAATAAACATATATATATGAAGGGAGTTTTCATGGCAAATTGCGTGGGGTATCATAATTTGTTACCTACTTATTATGATTTAGTATGTTCTAGAAAGAATGTCTTTAAGGTATATCGATTAGACCTAACAAATTCCCTTTCGAGTATAAATCGAGAGAGTTTGTTATCTAACCTTGAATCTATTGTGAATGATGTGGAAATCTTAAGATATGTAAGAGAATACATTAATTTACCTTTTGTTACTGAGTATGGAATACCCCTATCCCTCCATCCAACTACAGCTATACCACCCTCAGGATTTCTGAGTTGTGTATTACTGAATTATGCTTTAATGGACTTCGATAAGGCTTTTCTCGAATTCTTAAGGAATCTGCTTGGTTCTAAGGTGAGGCTCGAGAGACCTGGATTCGGACAGATTGATAGAGGAAATGCCAAAGCAATGAACTTGGATTTCGTACTTGGTACTTGACAGGAAGGCTTTTTCTTCTCCTTCGATTCCATTCCTTGAAAGTTAAAAAGTTCGATCTGCCTATGAACTCAGCTAGGGATCCGTCTAGATTCGCTCTCAAGACAGCTCTTCCCGGAAATAAGGAATGCGATGATTCTTTGCCCTCGTAGAATAAAGGGTAATCGGAAAAGAATATGGAATGGTCTCTCACTGCTTTCTGCCACTTCCGAAGGCATTGTTCCTAGGGCTGAAGTGAAGGCTCAGTCTTGCTCGACGGGAGTTCCGATTCCACCCATTCTGATTCCGGGCTTGAGGCCCATCTTTTGGAATCTACTGATAGTCCTACCAACCTTGGGACAATTCCAACCTTTCAAAATTTTCTTTCTTCTCTTATGATATTTCTTTTCACGAACGGTACTTTGATGCCACTGCTGATAGAAGGGAATGCATGATTTTCGACCATAGGGAGAAGAGTCTGACCCAGAAAGCCATCTTGTAGAGAAAGTCGATTTGGGCAACCAGGGACCAGACCACTAGCCTAGATAATCAAAGAGGCACGGGCTGCTATCTTCTTCTTATTATTATACGATAACGAGATTGGAAAATAGGGATTGGCCCCAAGCCGAATCCAAGTAAAGTACCGGTGCTTGCTATCAGTAGAAGTCTCAGCCTCCTGCTCAACACGAGGAGCTTTAACCCTCTGACTCCAAAGAGCCTAAGTCGGCGGTTCACTTACACAATTTTTATTTTAAGTAAAATAAAGACAAAATATACCAAAAAAACACTTTCTTTAATGGCAAAGCTCGGGTTCCCGACGAGCGGGGCGTGACCCTTCCTTAATATACATAAGAAATTCGGGGTTCTATTCTAAGACGCTCAGGGGTCAGGAAAAAAGTCCTACTTCGGGTATGATCCACACGGAGATGCATATACTTATGCCCGAGCGCCTGTGTATGTAACTAGAGTATAAGTTTAGTTAGGTCTTGGATAACCTTGACGTCAGGTTTGGGGCTTTCTTCAAATGATCACTGGGCTCCTCTCGGCGGATGATTCAATAGCGGATTCACCCCCATTGGAGTTAGTAAGCCATGTCACGGACCCAAGTACGCCACAAAGTCATTGAAGGGCCATTATTGAGTCAAGCAACCGAAACCGAGCAAAGAAGTCACATCTGAGCTAATTATAACTAACTCATCCGCTTATATTATACCAAGCAAGACCCTTTTGCAGTTTACTCGCCAGTGTCATCACTCACTGGACGAGCCTTTCTATTTGTACCAGTTGAGTACGTCTGCCCAAGACCCAGACAAAAAGCTTTGTACCTTACCACGGCCGCTATCAATGTCGTCTGGCCCAGTTGCCCCAACTGGACTGAACCATTTGACTTCTGACAATAAGAGGAAGAGAAGCCCTCTTGAGTAAGGGCTCTTGAGTTAGAGTTCGAACTCACCTTCTTTCTTCTATTTCATAGCCTCTTCCGTATTCTCAATCGGAATAGCCAGGCCTTCAATCTTTTTCTTTTATTAGGTATACAAGGACGTGCTGTAGGAGTCACTCATTACCTTCTGGGTGGAATTGCCACAACATGGGCGTTCTTCTTAGCAAGAATTATTGCAGTAGGATAATGGCTAGGAGGATTTGAAAGGCATTATGGCATTAAGATTTCCAAGGTTTAGCCAAGGCTTAGCTCAGGACCCCACTACTCGTCGTATTTGGTTTGGTATTGCTACTGCGCATGACTTCGAGAGTCATGATGATATTACGGAGGAACGTCTTTATCAGAATATTTTTGCTTCTCACTTCGGGCAATTAGCAAGAATTTTTCTGTGGACTTCCGGAAATCTGTTTCATGTAGCTTGGCAAGGAAATTTTGAAACATGGGTACAGGACCCTTTGCATGTAAGACCTATTGCTCATGCAATTTGGGATCCTCATTTTGGTCAACCTACCTTACTTTATTACTAAAGGCGAACATCTCATGCATCTTTAGAACCATGGAACTACCATATAATATGGGCGAACGCTAATGCACGCTATATCTCTTAGTCTAATGGGCTTACCGTGAGGGAGCTCACTCTCTGTATAGGGAATTATGTAACAAAGGAGAAAGTAAAAAGTATCGGAGCGAAGGCTAATATTATCGAAATATAAGTAGTCGCGACGAACGCTCATGCTCAGATTATGGCTATTAGTATCGAAGATGGTTACCTAGCTTTGGCCATCTTTATATGTCTTGTCATTGCTTTCTTTCTCCGAGTCGTGTAGGGCCTGTTCAAGTTCCGCAGGAGTAGTTTCGGTTGTAACTTGGACGCAAGCAAGAAACTTCTTGAATATCTCCTTTTGGGCGAACGACGGGGATTGAACCCGCGCGTGGTGGATTCACAATCCACTGCCTTGATCCACTTGGCTACATCCGCCCCTACCCCCGCACAGGTTTCAGTCTCTATCTACGATCAGATCCTTTCCCCCCTATGATCGCTGAGAAGCTTTTTCCTATACTATAGTTGCAAGTCTATTGTTGTGCTTTGGGGGAAGCTTCAACAAGTAGAAGCTTTCTGGAAAAGCTTCAATTCAAACAAAGAGGTTGGGCTGTTCACTTCATTGATTTGACTTCACTTTTAAGATTAAAGAGAGGGGCCGGGCGGGCAGTGAAGGCTCGTTTAGTAGACAGCAAGCGAGCAGCAAGCACCTACTACTCCTATCAAAATGAAAAGCAGCAAGCGGAGCTTGAAGAAGCGAGCCCCTATCAGAGAAAGTCATTGCGCGCCCTTGTATAGGGGGCCTTGCGCCTACGCACCCCTAAAAACTACATGAGAAGCCCCTGCTTTATTTATGGGATATTTGAAGAAGCCCCTTTCTATAGATAGGCTAACGCGCCTTTACTAATATTCTTATTCTAATATAAGGCCCTTCTTTCTCAAAGTCAAGTTTCGCGCTTCTTACTTTAGAAAGATTGCAGGGGCGCTAACGGCGACCTTCCTTCAGCTGGCTCCGCCCTACCCTCATCTCTTTTTTCAAATGGATATTTAGGGGTCTCTCGTGTTCATAGATCTTGAAACCAGATCTATATCTATTTATCAATATAGATATATCTATCTATCGATAGATATAGATCTCTATCTCTGGATCTATCTCCATATCTAAATATGGAAGAACCGACACTTAAAAGGCGTAACCAACGGAAGGAAGGTTCTCACCCTGTCCCCGACATTGTTCTCCGACGATCCTGGGCGAAAGGGGCTTTTCTTTCTTTCTTCAATCGTTCCGATCAGGACAAGTGGGTTGGTTCATTTCGTCCTCCTGCAATTCTCTGTCTTCGTTTGTGATCATGTTGGGCGAAAGGTAGTTGTAGAGGAACGGCTGTGAAACGGCGATTCCCCCTTTCCATTGAAGTAGGGAGGGCCCCCTTCCCCACCATTCTGGCCTATTTTTTTTTGATAGGGATTTTACCGATGCTGAGGGTAGCTTGTTGCTTACCAAGCCACCCACTTGAGAAGCTAGTCGCCAGAAAGAAGCGACGAGGAAGCGAAGCTGTCTACGAAGCAAAGCTTCCCCCCTGTAGTCGTAGTACTCGGCTTGTCGCTACTTTGATTCAAAAGGTAACCGACGGTTCTCGACTTTCTCCGGTTTCTGCAACCGTAACCATTTGTCACTCCGATTACTTCATCCATAAACTTTTCCTTATTATTAAAATAGCGGTACGCTCTAGCTCTAAAAAAAAGTAAAGGATAAGCTTGCATTCTAGAAGCGGTAGCTTCCCGCCTCCTTCATTCCTACTGCCCCCTTCGGTGAGAAGTTCCCTTCCCTTTTCTAAAATGCCAAATAGTATGCCTCGGAAAATGTAAAAAATGGACCGCTCTTTCCCTCCCTCTTCTTCCCATTCTGGGCCGGGTTTACCCGCAAGTAAAGAAAGAAGGAAAGGAGGAAGGATTCTTTCCCCGGGCAGGGGCGAAGGGCGTTATCCAATCTGCGACTCTCCCTATGGTCGAGTAGACTTTTTTTCCCCTGTCTTCAATCCCTGCTTCAGACACTTCTGCTCCTGACCTTTGAAAGGCTCTTAGAAAGACGTTCCTCACCCTCAAGACAAAGAAAGCTGTACGTACGATACGATTAGGATCAGAGAAAGAACTGCTATGAACTCAGGCACCCATAGAAGGTTTTCCTGAACACGGGATCTAAGCCTAAGCTCGTTGGACTTGCTAAGGGAACCTCTTTCGAGATGCTGCGTAGTAAATATAGTATAGAAAGAGATTCGTCTTGTAAGAGCAGGTTTCAGCTACTTATTTTTATTCTATTTAGTAGCTAAGCGCTAAATCATTTGACAATGCCGATCTAATATGTCAATAGTTCCTAAATCAATAGGAAAGTAGCCCAAGGGTCGTAGAGTCGTATATTGTCGGGTTGGAGGGACCCACGGGGCGGTAACAAGACTAAACAAGTAAGGAAGGGGAAGTACTTTAAGAGAAGAGAAGAGTAAGGCCCATGCTTTTCGTCCCAAGTGGAATGCCAAAAGAAGCAAAGGGGCGTAGCCGTGACTCTCGAAAGTCGTCTTTTGTATCGCGTCAAGAGAAATGACATAGATAAGATCATTGCTTGAAGAGTTTCATTGTCGAATTGATCTCGGAATTGGATCCCATCCCAATAGTAGCAGCTGCCCAAAGGTGCTTTATGAAAGCCGGTCCACAGCAGTGAAAGTACGATTTCTTTCGTCGATCGAACGAAAACCGCTTCTTGCTTTTTTTGCCTCTCTGGCTTGACTACTCTGCTTGTTTAACACAAGTGTGATTTAACCTTCACGGACTACTTGACTACCCAGCAAGCTCCGGCTCGAAAGCAACAAGCAACTCCTTGAGCTGCGCGAAAGCCGTTGCTTGTTAGCGCTTTAGTTTGATTGTAGGGCGGCTTGACTAATAACATAGAAAGCGCCGGGCTTTTTCTCGCTTGTTTGATAAGGCTTTCTTCAATCGGCAAAAACAAGGGATGGATCGGAAGTCTGATAAGGCTTTAATTTAAGAGATGGGGACTCCAGCGGTAAGAAAGAGTCACTCAGTAAATCGGTGGATCACACACACTTGTTAGAGACAGAGACAGGGACACGCCTGACTATTAAGAAAGTATAAAAGTGTTGAAAGAATGAAGTCTGGGGACAACGGGAAACGTGAGGAATGGGATCCCCAAACCCGCCCTACTAAATAAGTTCGCAAGCAAGGGACATGCCGAACACCTACCCTTCCAACGCGAGGACTTTTAATTGACGATGCGTTCCGTCGTCAGCAAGCGGTGGCCGACAAGGCCCTTTTCCCTAAATATCTTGGGAAGCGAAGAGGACAGGGTTGAAACTCGTTCGGTAAGATTCTCCCGAAGGTAGGCATTTACCCAAGGCACTGAGATTATGAGTCTCTCAATTATACGTGTTTTAGGGAGTTGAACGTCTTATTCTTATGAGTGGCCTATGTGAATATAAGCCAGGAGCAAGGATTCCGGAAAGTGGAGCCGGCTCAGGATCCAAAGACGTTCAAATCCAGTTCCAATCTGGATATAAAAGTGAAAAAGTGATATCTCTTTTAGTCCGGTCTTCTTTTCTCTTTTGAGTCAGGTTCTTAAGACAGGACAGGAAATCGGGTTTTCTGAATAATCTCTCTTCCGGCCTATTAAGTAAAGTAAGTTAGTTCGAGATCGAAACTGGACCTGAGAGAGACTAGACTTCTAGTAACAGTAGGTGCGCCTTCAGTTGAGGAGAGCTGTTCACAAGCAGTGGTTATGAGTTCTTTCTTCTTTCGGTTCAGAAGAGGCTACGCACCTTCAGTTGCACTAGTGGATTGAATAACCTTTTTTTTGAGTGAGTGAGTGCCAACAAAGTGCATGTGTTGTTGGTTAATAAAAACACGAATTTCGATAGGCTGGAAGACTGATTTATACTATAAGTAGGACAAACGCCTTAAATTAAAATTATCCAAGGAATCTCTTTCTTGGGATTTGTATTTGAGAGAGAGAGCTATCTTAGGTCAGTTTCTTTAGTAAACTTATTTGGTTGAACTTTTATAGGTAAGAAAGTAGTCCCGTATGAAATTCATAAACCATTCATATCTTGCACTTGAGGAGGTCAATCTTAAGTGTTGGAAGCTACTGCTAAGGTACTCCCCCTCATCTATAAAGGATAGGCAATTGAGAGAGAATAGGGCGATAGCCCGGTTTTGCTTGGAAGAAGCACCTTTCCTGTGCTTGTCTTGTATTGAGGTATACCGAAGATATGAGTCAAAATAGGTAACAGAAGGGGAGGGATTGTTTTCTTAGTGAAGGCGAGCAGCTTTCATTTTTTTAGAATGAATGGTAGGGCGAGTAGGCGGTTCGTATTCTTCCTCATCCTCAGAATAAGAAGTAGGAGGATACGCAGAGCAAGAGCTCTTGAAGTCTACCCCCTGGGCGCGCCTCTTAATTCATCCATTTAGGCCCTACTAGGAACACGTAGATCCAGGGAACCTGGCTCGGGAAGAGCTTCTTACTAGTAGGGGCTAATCACAGTAAGAGAGCCCAATCTCTGAAATAGAGCTTAGTCTCTCCATAGTAGTATACTAGTAGAAGGCGTAGGTTATGACTTGATCCAATAGAGTCAGAACACCTTTCTATCTAAAAGAAATGGTGCTCGATGAAACGATCCAGATTCCACACTATGCTGTGGGCTGGGGAGAGAGCTGCTCCGCGAAGCTGGGCGTTCAGTCTTCTTATGGTACTATACTAGAAAGAAAATAGAAGAAAAGGCCTTCAAAAAAGAGCGAGAGAGTGATGGGCAACCTTACCTTAGTCTATATGTTGCTCGTGAGCCGTCAAGTACCAGTCTCGCAACAGTACTGGCGCAAAAGGATCGGTACTTCACTTGCTGATCGTTCGCGAGTTGAACTCGCTCTCTTGCCACGCCTTTCACTCACTCGCTTGAGTCGGACTCAATCACTCTTTTTGGAGGATCATTCGTTCTTCACTCTCTTGCTATTACCCGCAGGGAGCGCAGCAAGGTAGGTGCATATTATCATATAGAAAGAAGCGAAGCGTAGCGATTCGTACTACCAAGTTTCGCTAACCGGCAGGCAATAGAGCCCGCCGATAGGCGCAAGCAAGCGTAGCGAATCACATAGATAAGCCCCTACCTGCCAGCTCGCGGATAGATAGGGCGAGCGAAGCGCGAAGGGGATGGATGTCTGAGCGGTTGAAAGAGTCGGTCTTGAAAACCGAAGTATTGATAGGGATACCGGGGGTTCGAATCCCTCTCCATCCGCGAAGTCATCAGTTCTCTCTTGCGTTATCTATAGTCTTATGACGAGAGACACAACAAGTAGGTGCGAAGCCACTTTGCTCTAGGAGAGCGAGGGGCCGTCATATCTTTATGAACATCCATATACATAGCCAGACACAAAGGTGTACAATCCGATCCAAATCTGCGGTTCTTTAAGTTCATTCACTGTAGGTTCTCTTACTTGCTCTAGTGGCTGGCAAAGGCCAACCGAGAGGGGAGAACGAATGGCTCAGAAATCGACTGTTTCCGAGCGGACTTGTGGAGCTGCTGCTTGGATTATCTTAGAATAAGAGGAGCCGTCTTAGGAAATGACTGAACTTAAAAGACAGATACCGCCGCTGCGAGGCGAAGGAGTAACTTGTCTGGTCTTGCGGTGCACTCACTCCCGTTACGAGAATGAAATGACGCCCCAGCTCGACTCGAGACCAAGACTCCTTACAACTCGCACCAATAGCGGCACTGAACGGCCGGAGATTGATTGAAAAGGCAGCCCCGCCAGCCCGCCCCTTTAGTGATTGTGATCAAGAGCACACGCTGGACCTGACCCACTAATCATCATCTCATCTGACGCGAAGCAAAAAAAGAAGGCTGGAACCTTCCCAGCCCAGCCGCCCCCCTAGCCGCCTACCTACTCGTGCTCGTAGCTCGATCGGGGGTCAAGAGTGTGGTCCGGCGGAAAAACAGAAGTCGTCTGTATCAAGTGATACGTGAATTGCTCAGTAGTGCTTCGCCACTACCGTAGCTGGCGGAAATAGCTTAATGGTAGAGCATAGCCTTGCCAAGGCTGAGGTTGAGGGTTCAAGTCCCTCCTTCCGCTCTTGGCTTCGTCGTTTAGTGATAACGAGTGGAGTAGGCAGCGAGTAGAGTGCATAAGCCCCTTTAGAGATAGAGTCGAGCAGCAAGCAGCCCCTAGGGGGCCTTGCGCCTTTCTTACTAATAATAAGAAAGGTTGGAACCTACTCCTAACAAGTTGCTGGCTTTTCAGCCGTTGCGCGCTAGCGTTTTCCCTTACTAGTAAAGGGGCTGCTAGTTGTAGCGCGCAGTGTACTAGTGAATAGGAAAAGCTGATTGAGATTACTAATGACGGATGGAGGTTGAGGCAATGAAATCGGGGCCTCGCCCTTGTCTTCTTCGCCGGAGACTGCAAATGATGGGAATTCTATCGATAAAGAAGAGGCATAGGCATCGCCTCTCGATCCAATCCGTCTCCCCTGGCCTCCCCAACACACTCTTGATACGAAAAAAACCTCCCACCATAGAGAAGAGATCTAAAGTCTGGGTCCCGCTGATCACCCTTTCCTTTGAACCTGAACTGGTCGAGAGAGATGAACCCGCACCACATTTTCTAACCTTCGAACCGAAACCCCAACTAGAGATGGAATTCAAGAACCTAAACAACTCAGTTGAGAGCTACGTGACCGTTCAAGGGAGGGTCCACCAATGATTTTTAGGCCCTTCCCCCCTATCCGTCTCTTGATCCCTCATTCCACTAATCCGTTGTTACTGATTCATTCAAGGCATAGACTCCCAACTTCTTTGTCTTATTAGCGCAGGTGTTCGTCAACGATGAAAGCCGCTGAACTTAAGATTCGAGTTGAGAAAGAGTGCCCAGGAGAGGAGGGCTTCGGGGACTGGGGAAGACGAGTGGATTATAGAGTGAGGGGCGGATCGAAGGTTTGTCCATTGGGATTGGGCATGGACGAGCCTGGGCCAGCATTGATGAAAAAAGAAAAACTTCTCCCATCGCGTCATTAACCGGTGTAGGATTAAAGATCAGGTCCAGGATTCGAGTCAAATCGACCTTCCCTCTCATCCCAGGGTTTGGCAAGGAATTCAAAAAAATGTTCGTTGTTCAATATCTTATCTCGGCTGCTCAAGAAGGACTAGCTGCTCCTCCGACCCGGAGTGGATTCTAGGGGAAGGGCAGATCCTCTGCAGTAGGAAGGTGTTCGTTGCTGGGACGGGTTCAAACTGGACTGAAGGGAGGAGGAATTCAAGACTCCGATCTTACTGGGGATTCATCACTGGCTAGGGCTCTCGAATCAAAGCATGGGCATCTGCAACTAAGAGAAGAGGGAACAGTAGATCGTCGATTGACGAGCCGGGTCAGTAAACTTATATTGATTATTGATTCGACTAGACCTATCAGCAAACTTGTATGAAGGGCTCCCATGGAGACGCAGGAGATACAGGAGCCACCAGCCGGATCGACCAATAAATGATAGGCCAGAGGGATGGGCTCATTCGACTAATCAGAGATCCCTGGCCCTACCTAACACAGAGATGTCCCTGAAATAGGGGATTAGTTGATCGGAAAGCTCAGGCAGGAGTAGGACACATTGCTTTCATAAAAAACCTTTTGGTAGAAGGAGTTGTCTTTTCCAATCCAAATGAGAACCTTTGACGGTTGGGGATTAGAAACAGTAACCTCGACGCACACCCTAGCATAATGGGGTTCGAGAGATCCAGAGTACGATCATCAACGCGAAGAAGGGTACCAAACGAAGCTACAATCTCCTTCACGGAAGAAGGATTAAAAAATAGCAAAGGAAGATAGGTTATGAAATAAAACGGCGGCAAATTCGGATTCAGCCCTAGGGTTAAAGGATAGAGTCCATCGAAACAAAGGGAACAAGGAACTGTGTATTAAATGGGATTCCCTGGACCAAGGAGTAAGAAAATCCTCTCGCGAAGGAAGGCGAATCATTACATGTCTGGGATCGAGCAAGCCTACAACTGCATCTTGTTTCAAGCTATTAATATGCTCACGGATGGTTCGGGCCCGGTGGTGTGGTACGTAGAAGTCGTTTCCAGTGAAGGGGTGGGAAGAAAGAGTCTGAGGTCGGGTTGGTTTTTCCCACCACCACTAGAGATTGGACATATAGCAGCTAAGAGGGTGAGTAAGAAAGTCAAGACCGAGGACTTGCTTTTCCCAACATCTGTCTCGCTTCCAAACCAAAGGAATTAAACGCCTTCCTGTGGAGGGAGGAAAGAGGGCAAGAACGGATAGAAAGGAAGCCGAAGGAATGAACTTCTTGTAGAAAGTCAAAGCAGAAAGCGAGAAAGCAGATTAGAACGTGGAGAAGACTAGTCCGAAGGCATCAACTTCAGGAGCTAAGAACTTCCTGGGAAGGGAGTTCAAGCGGCTGGACGGGAAAGTCTTAAAGGAAGGGAGCCCCTGACTTCCTTAATCAAAAAAGAACTCTACTGTCTCAGAGCGAGAGTCAAACTCGTATCGCGGAACTAGAACATTTCTCGCAGCCCTTAACTCAGGTCTTTAACATGAAAAGAGGGCATTCTGAGGATGTCTTCCAATTGGCTAAGAAAGTCATGAATGCTTACCTTCGAGACAGGAGCACAGAAGATCAATGAAAGACTAGAGCGCGAGCTAGTTGATCAAAAGTAAGAAATGCTCGAAGCAGCCCTGATCGTAGACTGATCTTTAATTCGCTTTCGAAAGTCTCTTTATTAGTAGATGCCTTTGTTTTGTCAACCCATAGACAGGGGATATGCCAACTAGAGCAAGAAGTCCGGATAATTAAGTCTCAAAAAGTGGATTTTGGCTTTTTTGAATATAGAGATTTCGCCCACAAGAGACCAGTACCAGCTCCTAAGCCTAAGCTCTTTATCTTTAGCCTGCAAGCGCTTCCAAAGTTGTTAGCGTGCGTGGGGTTACCTAAGGTCAGAAGTGGATTCCCTTTCTGGGGTACTTGACTAGGCTATGATTCCCGGGGAGAGAGAGAACTCTTATAATAAGATGGGCCTTGAGCCTGCTTCATCGCCTTGACTTGATTCGGGTAAGTCTAAGTCAAAGTAAGGACTTTGCTTTTCCGGGGAAGAACTCCGAATACCTTTCGCCTGTGATTGGATGCCCTGATCCAATGCTTTCATTCAATCTATCTCATTTGCTGCATCCAAGCTTAGCAAGTCTTTTTCCTTTATTACATCCAGTTACCGCTGCTTCTCGTGCCCTTTTGAACGGTACAAAAAAATGCAGAATGAGCGCACCGCTTCGACCATGGCTTTCTTTTCGAAAAAGTTCTGTTAGGTTCTTAGTAGCAGTCGTCGACCTTTTCTTCTTTTACTTCACATAGCTTTTCGTCTCCTTGATAGCTGGAAGTTCCCCAAAAGTATGAAAAGCTGGAGGACTTTGTACCATCCATTCCAGTGTGGTTGAATTCTGTTCAAGAGCCCAAGGACTTGGAGCACATTTCTTTTTATTTCCACTGCTTAAAGTGATTGTTACGACCACGAAGAAACAACAAATCCCAACTACGGATATATAAGAGCCAAAACTGCTAAGGGCATTCCATCCAGCGTAAGCATCTGGATAATCTGGAATGCGACGTGGCATACCCGAAAGCCCTAAGAAATGCATAGGAAAGAAGGTCAGATTAACCCCGAAAAAAGTGATCCAAAAATGGATTTTCCCTAACGTTTCAGGGTATGTCCGACCAAAGATTTTACCCACCCAATAGTAAAATCCTGCAAATAAAGCAAAAACGGCTCCCATAGAAAGTACATAATGGAAATGTGCAACCACATAATAAGTATCATGTAGAGCAATGTCTAGCCCAGAATTTGCCAGGACTATTCCAGTGAGTCCTCCTATGGTGAACAAAAAGATGAACCCTACAGCAAATAACATGGGTGTTTTGTATTGTATCGAACCCCCCCACATGGTAGCGATCCAACTAAAGATTTTGATTCCAGTGGGGACAGCTATGATCATGGTAGCTGCGGTGAAGTAGGCACGGGTATCAACGTCTAAGCCCACAGTAAACATATGATGAGCCCAAACAAGAAATCCAAGAACACCTATACTGATCATGGCATAAACCATGCCTAGATACCCGAAAACCGGTTTTCCAGAGAAAGTAGAAACGATATGACTTATGATACCGAATCCAGGCAGAATGAGAATATACACCTCTGGATGACCGAAGAACCAAAAGAGATGCTGGTATAAGATGGGGTCCCCCCTCCAGCGGGATCAAAAAAGGTTGTATTAAAGTTTCGATCGGTTAATAACATGGTAATTGCCCCTGCCAGTACCGGAAGTGATAATAAAAGTAGGAATGCTGTCACTAGAACGGACCACACAAATAGGGGTAATCTATGCATAGTCATTCCAGGTCCACGCATGTTGAAGATAGTTGTTATAAAATTGATAGAACCTAAAATGGATGAAACACCAGATAGATGAAGACTAAAAATTGCTAAATCAACTGCTCCTCCAGAATGGCTGGTAATACCACTTAAGGGCGGATAGACCGTCCACCCAGTGCCGCTACCCACTTCTACTAAGGCTGAGCTTAATAGGAGTAAGAGACTTGGTGGCAACAACCAGAATGAAATATTATTTAATCGTGGAAATGCCATGTCAGGTGCACCTATCAGAATCGGAACAAACCAATTACCAAATCCACCTATCATCGCCGGCATAACCATAAAAAAGATCATTAAAAAAGCGTGAGCCGTTATTAAAACATTATAAAGTTGATGATTCCCACCAAGAATTTGATCGCCGGGTCGTGCTAATTCCATACGAATCAGTACTGAGAAGCATGTGCCCATCACTCCAGCAATGGCACCGAAGATGAAATAGAGAGTCCCTATATCCTTGTGGTTAGTGGAGAACAGCCATCGAACCAGATTTCTCATCCAATAAAAATTCTTTCTTGATGCTTCGCTCGACACCGGAAGAGAGTAAGCCAGCTTTAATAAGAAAAAAAGCCGAGCCTGCTTATGGGGCCCGGCGCAAGACTGCCTTTTCGATTTGTTGCAGGCTAAAGGCTAGAACTCCTGCTGTAAGACTCGGCTGCTTTTTCCGCCGAACGTATATAGGATGAAAAGGAGGAGGTATATAGAAGATGATCATGGATCATAGACAAGCGCTGCTCTTTCTCTTTTCTTTCTTCTCTTAAGATATTTAGACTTCGAATTTCAATCCCCTTGCTTCGACTCTTGTGATAGGTGGGTTAGGCCTGACCTTTGCTTCGAGACACAGAGCTCTTTGGACAAATCTATTCTATTCAGGAATCCACTCTGTGAGCGGGCTGTTCTATTGAGACCAGTGTCACCACCTCAAGCGACAGGACGTTTCTTTCTATACGCAATTCAAAGGGAGAAGCACACCCGAAGCCAAAGAGTAGGGGGCAGCAGCTCTTATCTTAGAAGAGCCAGGGAGCGCTACAAGTGGGCCCCCCATTACTGGAAGAAAGCATAGTAGAAAAGGCTCGTTGAGACCTGCTCTGATCCCCATCGTACCTGGTTTAGACCGTCGGGGAGGAAAGCTGTGAACGAATCTGATACGCAGATGTTTGAAAGAATAACGGCTGCCATTGAAAACAGATGCTGATAAAAAGTTCGGAGTACTGTAGTTTCCCAGGTAGGGGAGAGAGAGATACATATATTATACTGCTACCTTAACTGATTTTTCTCTCAAGGCGCAAGGGTTAGCGACTGCCCGAGGAGTGAGACCTCTCTTCTTTTCCCTTTTGAAAGGAGACAATAAGCCCGTCAATCAACATTGAAGCTTCCGCTTTTGGCAGCTGTTAGTCAAGTGATACCGTACGCAAGTCCGGCCCTATATAGTGACGGTGCGTTAAGGCGAGTTGATGAGCTAATACGGCTGGCTTACTTTTCATATGTGGAGGCAAGCTGACGTTAAGCACTGGGGCCAGCCACAAAGGAATAGTTTTTAAGATATACCGTCTTTCTGTTGACACATTTAGAAGCCTTTCTCTCTTCGATCTACCTCGAGTCCAAGAGAATGGTAGAGCTCTCCAACTTCCTTCATTTGGAAGCGTACTGATAGATTTTCCTTTGTTGGGCGAATTTCCTCTTCGTCATCTCCAGTGATGATAAGATCATTCACGTATACTATAGCAGGACTATGGCCAGCTTGCCTTCTCCTTCTCGAGTCTTAAGAAATAGACTTGAATCCGCAGGCGCCACTAAATATCTACTTTGAATTCAAAATTCAGCAATCTTACCGCCCTTGGTGCTTGCAAAAACCCGTACAGAGCTTTTCTCAATTCTCACACTCCATCAGGGTTTACTCTCTTTGCCTTGTGGCTGCTCCATGTAAATTTCTCGATCTAATTCTATATATAAGAAAGCATTCTTCACGTCCATCTGCCACAACTTCCAGGACTTGCTTGCTGCAAGCGCTAGCAGGACAGGTATGGTTTTAATCTTTGCCACTGGACTGAACCTTTCATTATAATCCAGTCCATACTGCTATGAGAACCCTCGAGCCAGCAAGCGAGCCTTCTATCTCTCAATTGATCCATCTGGCCCTGTCTTTCTCTTGTAAACGCATTTGCAAGATATGGCTTTCACATCCTTGGGCTTAGCCACTAAGTCCCAAGTTTTATTCTCTTTCAAGGCTAGACAATCTTCCTCCATAGCCTTCTGCTACTCCACACTCTGCGACGCTTCTTTATATGTCGACGGCTCTACCACTTTCTTCTCTTCGGCCAATGCGGCATTGGCATAAAAAAAGTTTTCGCTGCCTGGTGGATCTTCGGAGCTGCGGTTGTGGCCTAGCTTCTTCTCTAGATCCTTCTTGTTGAAGATCTTTAGGAGTTCTTTGTTTGGTGTATACCGCTTTGCCAAGGCCGTAAACAGTGTAATTACAGCTCTGATTCGCCTTTACTAGTCAATGGTATTGACGGCTCAATAGCTTCTGAGCTTGGCTGTCTTTCATCCGTCCCAGTCTCTCCAGAAACTTTTCTTCTATTTCTTTGGAAGAACGTAATATCACCTGTTGTGGTGACCACCACGATGATGCTTCATCGAAGACAAGGTTCCGTGATGCATAGCAGCGGTTGGTTGTGGGATCACAACATTTATATCCTTTTCTTTTACTAGAATAAGCCACGAATATGCATCTGATTGCTTTCTTATCAAACTTTCAGCGTAAATGGTCAGGTACAAAGATATAAGATAGGCAGACAGTGGCTCACGTGATCAACATTCAGCCGAGGCTAGGGAGCATCTCTTCCTTTTCGCCTTGCCTCGAGGGCTTCCGGGTCCCGTGGGCACAGTTGAACAAGGCTCGTATTCAGATACTCTACCTGAAAAAGAGGTTGAAAAAAGCCAGATCATAAATAAATAAGTAAGAAAGTTAACTGAGCATAGCATCATTCTCGCGGTCGAAAACGTAAGCGACGAAGCAAGGAGCTTAGCGTACCGTTTTTGACTACCTTCTCTGTCATGTCTGAGTTCTAACATTCTAGGGAATCCGTGCTTTGCTTTGTCAATGTCACTTTCAATATGCTGAACACATACAAGTTTGATTGAACTGTTCACATTGGCCATCTAGAGAGATTATATACAGTGTGCCGTTAGGGAGGAGAACTAAATTGAATAAAGGAATTCGTGTTTACTACTGTAGGACCGGCGGTGGAATAGAACTAATTAAAGAAAGCCCTTTGAAAGCACATCTTTTCTTTAGCATCTAAAAGTTGAATGATGAAAGAGATTCCTTTGATTTCACCCATTGTTATAAGCTTGCTAGGTAGCCCCTCTTCCCAGGACTTCCACTTGTTACCGTCCTAACTACGCTAGGGTTAGGGAACAGCACCCTAGTATACCCGACCCAATTCACCGAATAGTTAGCGCTGGCTTTGGTTCAACTCCTCGCCAGGAAATTAAGAAATGGATGACATTTTTTTGGTCTTTTGCCCAGGCCGATTAAGCTCTTTTTCCACTTGGCTAGGGCCGACGCGACGGATTGTATCAGAGAGAGAGAGAAAAAAGACCTTTCCCGTTGTTTGATACAGGGGCAGCCCGCAAGATATGTCCTTTCTTTTTCAACTGTCAAAACCTTGATATCTTCATTCCCATCGTTTGCATCAAGAAGAGCATACTCTCTTTCGAAGATCGCTGAAAGGGTAAACTTTCTATGCTTCCTTTGGAGAATCTGCTGGTGGATATCTTAGGCATTGGTGGGGCTTACTGACTTATATTGATCCCGATCTACCTATGCTTCAAACCAAGTACCGTAAAAAAGGTTTCTAACCCGCGAGCTTTTACCTATAAGTGATGGGAGTGGCCAGAACACCGGTTGATTTAGTGATTTACCCATCCAAACAAGTGGATCTATCGCGCAGCGATAATCACTATAGAGGCGAGAGAGACGGATAAGTGCCCCGCCCCTGTAATTGGCTCGGGATCCGTATTGGTGGGCACTGGATATAATGCTGCTGACTGTGCTACCTTTGCTGAAGTTTGAGCCGAAAATGACTTTGTTTTTTAATAATCAGCTATTGGATTAGGATAACCCGATTATGGTTCTGGATCAAGGTTTTCCAATAGGTGCTGCCCCCGCCTTCACTTCTCGTTCCGTATACTCTTGTCCTTCCCTCGTTCCCTGCTTCGACTCAAGACCTCTAAAAATGGTAGTGAGTATTCGGCTCACCTCAGCTCGCCTGTGACATAGCATAGCAAAGCTAGCCTTCAGAGATCTCTTGCCCAAAAAACTGGTTGATGCAGTGAAGGTTTTTAAAAAGTGAAAAGACAGAAGGGACCCGCCAGACGAGCTTATCGAGTTGAGGAACGAACCTGCTAGGACCTCCTCTCAGGATGACTAAAAGGTGTGCATACGATGGGCGAAAAATCTAAACGAACCCGCCACAATCGAAAAGGAAAGGATCACTTAGCTCCTCTAAAATCGGGTGGTGAAGAAAGACCCTTGTTTCAAGAACACGTAGCGCTCAACACCCTGCTGACGCAAGAACCCATCAAGCGTGCCCCAAATGAAAAACCTGGATTTCAGCTAATGAGCTAAGCCCGTCTCAAAATAGATCTGAAAAGAAGTAGATAAAGCCCGACAGGAGAAACATATCAACATGTTTTTCCACGCAAGAAAGAAGTTCGTCCAGCCCGTCTGGAAGAGGAAAGACCCAGGTCTCATGGTCCCATTTTCTGCCCAAAAAAGGTCCATCTGGCGGCAATTCTCGAATGTGGAAAAGGCCCCAAAAAGTTTTTAGGGCAAAAATCCCCAATACGATGGTAATTATTTCGATGAGCAAACCGTGTCAAAAGGAATTTTTTTGAAGGCAATGGCCCACAGCGGCATACATGCAATAAGTCTCAATCGACCAAACCACAGGATTATACAGTCACTCTCCCTTGACTAGGATTAGGGTTTACTAATCAAGTTTTATCATGAAAGCTCCCCCACACATGACAACATACTATACTTAATGATACCTGGACATTGATCCATGGACTTAGTGAAAAAGGATTAGGACCCTTACCTTAATTAATATGATTGATTAAAACTTAATCACTAAAGCCTCTCCAGATGATACTCTTGCACATCCAGATACAAGTCTTGTCATCGTGTTCCCCTAGACGATGTATAGACATGTCTAAACCCGGGTCTCTACCCAAAAGACACTCGCACTTACACCCACACTCATGCAACCTTTTGCGTGCTGACTTTCTGCAAGTTGAATTAATCGTCCCCCGATGATTAGTCTCAACTCGTCAGGTCGACAGATAGTATACATCATGCATTAGATTAGTACGTAGCGCCTACATTCTTCAATCCAAACAAACGGCATCACTTTGTAGCAATAAATCCCGATTGGTGTTCCGAAGGCCTAGCGAGTTAAACGAGTTCCTTTTTTTTTCAAAGGCGGTCCTTTTTTTCTTTCCCCGGACCGATGACTCGCTTGTTCAGTACTGCTAACTATTATAGGAGGATGCCGTCCCCTCAGGACTACCAGTAGTTTCGGTTGTTGAATCTCATGCAAGTTAGGTTGTGGTTGTATTGGCTGCAAGCGGAACGAAGGCGCTGTAGGTGTGTGTTGACCATGCGCTCTCGCGTCATGTAATGTCGGTGAAGAATCGATGAAGGGAATGCGCAAGCAAACAAAAGACATTTCATTTGGATAGTAGACGGGGAAAAAGAAGAACATGAGATCATGGAGTAGAAAGAGGGAGTCCGGCTTTGGTTCATTGGCCCCTGGCCTTTTTCTGCCCCCGGACTGTCTCCTAATAGGACTTCGACACCCTGCAGGCTCCAAAATAAGGTCAAAGTCGTGTATCCGCTCTCAGATTCGCATGAGCTACTGCTCTCGTCCTGACCGAGATCTATTCTCATCTTGTGGGGAATCTCCCCTCTCACTCTCCACTTTCATGTCCATCAGAGAAAGCTGGCGCATCTTTTCGTTCATCAGGCTAGCGCCTGTCCCGATGATAGAAGGAGAAGGTGATCAATAATCAAAGCAGCTTGTTTCAAAGACATATCTCTCCATTTCGTTAGTGATTATGCCCCGAACTTATACTTTGATTAGTCATATGTGGAACTCGGATTCCTTCTCCAACCCCAAGTCAGTCAATTGCTTCTCTTCCCGCCATCTTCTATTGGTGGCACTCCTTCCTTTATCTCATATGCCGGTGAACCAGGCCGAATTGGATCTCTTCCCGACCCCCTACCTCATGCATTGAAGTAGTCCGGTACGCTAAGGTAGGACTGTTTGGTCTTAGTAGGTGACCGCTTGGCAGTAATCGTTTTCCCTCCTTCTTCCTTGCTCCATAAGGTTGGGCTTTGTTCAACATTGATGGCTTTGCTATCAGCTGGGAATGGAGTGGCCTAAAGAAAGGCTCCTTTTCTCCCCGATACGATACCCTTCCTTCGGCATCCCTGACTCGGGCATCCCTTTCAGCACCTGAACCTCTTGGTGGGGGACGGAACAAAATCATTTTATATTCAAAAAAAGAAATATCGGACAATCTCGTAGAAAAGAGGTAGTGGCTGGTCTTTCCCTTTCCCCAACTCCATCACCTCTTTGGACAGTGGCTTTTGCTTATTCCCCTCATCTCAGGGTTAGAAGACATCATTTCAGGGTCGCGTCGAAAGATGCTTAGAGTGCGCCCTTTATGTGTTTCGTCCGACTCCTCCTCCTCAAAAATGAAGGAGAAAAGACTGATTGTCTCTATATCCCTAGCGGACAATCGGGTGGTGGTATCTCAGTAAATTGATTGAAGAATGGTGGATGATTTCACACCCCCTTCCCTCTCCCTACTCTATGATCTCAGGCTCTCCCTCATCAAAAGGTCTGTTTCAAAGTAGGGGTTTCGGTTCAGAAGGTGATCAACCATAAATGGGGCTAATCCCGTGGATGCTGCTTACCTAGATGCATAAGATAGGTGAAATCCATGCAATTAGATGCTGGTTAAACTAGAATCCAATATTGTAGAAAAGGAAGTGTTTGTTGTCTTTCCGGGAATAAACAGTTGTTTGCCTCCATCTTATGTGCGAAAAGAAAACGATAGATGAACTCGGATCTTCTTTATTGTGCTTGTCGTGCTGGGACTGCTCCTCCTTCCCGCTTCTCCTCCCTCGGTACACTCCTCCGGCTACTTGTACTGATAACGCTGGGACTAATTGAACTCAGGCTGATTTCTCCTCTTCTGACTGCCCTTCTTCAGGCACAACCATACCTTCTTTTAGTTGGGCAATGAAAGTCGATTACGTATCCTATAATAGAAAGAAGGGTATCAATAATCTCATCAAGGCTGGCAACAATCAATGCTGTTCACCATCCCCCTGCCTTTCTCTAGAGTAGTCTAATCCTTGTTTTCGCTAACGAATGCGGCTGGCTAGTCAAAGCTGAATCAGGGGAACCGCTTTCGCACAATCAAGTCTGGTCAAAAGAAAGCTCTTTCAAGTTCGCCTTTTCTGGCAACTTCAATCAATATCGTATAAAAGATAGGTGAATCCGCTTTTCCTTCGAGTGCGGGTTTGGAACCCTTAATTCTTTGATCTCGACCGACTAAATCAATCAATAGCAGAAGTCTTTTTCTTTTCGATTGAGCTTCTCTTGGCCCTTGGCCTTTGATGAAGATGAACTGATATACTGGCATTCTCTTCCAACTCTGTATCCTAACTCACGGCAAACTATCTCTAGATGGCAAAGTGAAAAGTTGAATTGATCTGCACATCCCTCTATTCCAATAGAAAACGTTAACCTTCATCCATGAGATCGGGGTATCACTACCAGTAGGGGCCCGCTTCCCTAATAGACTTTGAAACCTCGCCTTCCCTTTCGATGTCCGATCCCGGATACCATGACTTGCCTTCAAACGGGCTTCACCTTCAAAGGA